TCTGACTGCGTCTTGACACCGGGCTTAGGTGGAGGAGGAGGAGGAGGAGGAGGAGGAGGAGGAGGAGGAGAGATTGCGGTAGATTCTGTGCAGTCTACTACCACTTTAAAATAATTTGCACGCAAAGCACCGTGCCGGTTTTATCTTACTGTGGAGCACACGGTGGACGTCGTCGGAAAAGACGGTCGAACTATCGTGTTTCCTTCTACTGAAAGGATAGTTTCCTGCTCATACTGCGTTTACCATGTAATCCCTTTATAGTGAACATAATTCCGCCATGTAACACGCTTGTTCTTTCACTGTGGGTCTCTTCTCGGGTTAGAATATTTTAATAAAAATCTGGTTCGTCTATTTCCACTTTATCTACGCAATCATGGTCGGCACGGTTATCGACCCCTGCTGTAATCTTTTGCTGCACGTCAACTAATGCACAAGGCGTAAGTCAGCGTTAGTCTAATTTTAGGGTCAGGGTTATGGTTAAAGTTCGTGTTAAGGCAACGTTAGGGCTAGGTTAGGACCAACTTAGAGTTAAGTTAGGACACGGGAGTATGTTATCGTCCTGGAATTTAGCATAAAGTCAGCTATTTTGCTAAGGCCTCCTGTTCCTATGCATTATCATTTATTTATTTACGATTTTTATTAAAGTTAACAGCTGAGTATCTGACAGGCTCCCCCTTCCAAGATTAGACTTAGTACACTGCGCTCGTCGACATGCACAATCTTAACTAGATCACTCTGCATGTGATTACTGGCTCTGACTTGAAATGTACAGCAATAAGTTTATTCTTCCAAATGATCTATGTTAATGTCTTCTTAGCGCGAAGTTTTGCTTCGGAGATTAGTCTAATTCTGAAAGGTGAAGTGGGCTTTTACAAGATATCGCCATTTTGATCAAAAATGCTGGGCTATTCGTAAATCTGCTCAGAATACGCTAGATGTGCAGTGCCATGCAATGTCAAAGGAAAGTCTGAAATGTAGAGTGAGGGAACGATCTCATGCAATTTAGGCCGAAATTCTGGAGTGCGTTTTCGATTGGGAAGGATTACTGAAACACGGGGGCAAAACCGATTACCTTGCAACATGATCCTGCAATAATTCGGACTTGGCAAGGTGTTAGCTTTTGAATACACTGCTTTGCAATCTCCTGTAGAAGGCGTACTCTCTAAGAAATGTTTTTAAAGTAGCATGAATTTTCACATTGATTTTTGACAGTCTCGCAAATGTAAACATATTTTGCAGAAATCGCAAACAAAAATGTGTTTTATTTTAGCCATTTGGTGGAGAATGACGTCTTCTGTGCATTTTATACTCGAAAAAGGAGTGTGCTTAGGTTTTAAAAGCGTTTTTCCGATTCCCGAATAATTTTGAGCCTGATCAGTTCTTGTATTAGCGCTCAGTAATTTCAATCTACGAGACGTATGCACTCCGCGTAGAGAAAGTGACCTATTCTTCTGCGGCTTTAAAAATGATACCATGTAGAGTATATAAAATTTTGCAGTGTATGCGGGTTGTGTTGTAAATTTTATGAGGAACAGTGATAAACGGACAGGTTCGACGCTGTATCAGCGAACACTGCACGGTCTTAAAAAATATCATGGTTAGATTTTTTTAAAGCCTGATTATACTCCTTTTTCGAGTCGAAAATATAAAGCGAACGTTATTCTCTATCCAACGACTGAAGGAAAGGACATTTGTGTTTACGGTTTCTGAAAAATATATTTAAATTTACGAGACCATCAAAAATCAATGGGAGACATGCATGCCACTTAAGTAGTCATTGGTTACAGAGTGCGCTTTCGACAGGAGATCGAAAAGCAGTGAATTCAAAAGCTGAAATTTTGTCGAGTCCGAAATATTATTGAATTATTCCCCAAGATAATCACTTCTTTATCCGCGCCTAAGTAATCCTTCCTAATCGAAAACGCATTTCCGAATTCCAATCAGCATTTCATGAGATCGGTCACTCACTGTACATCTTATTAGAAAAACAATTTAAGCATGGTCTTAAGACTGCCCATTTTTGTGGCATAATCACAAGATACTTCTGACAGGACAGGATGCCGGCTTTTGAACGAGCTTCCATCCGGCCGCCTACAAAAGCTGTACTCTGTGGAAATTTACTAATTATGCGGTAAGAATTCATCCTATTGACTATCGATCTCCTTATACATTCAGATATATTTTACTAAAAACATGAAAATAAATGTTTCTTGTGCTCACTAAGTGGCACATTACGTCCGCAGATTTCATACTTGAAGTGCGTTTTTGGTTTCGAAAAAGCTTCTCAATTTCCGAATAATTCTGAACCTGACTAGCTTGCCCTTGATTTCAATGTTACCAGATTACAAGCTTTGTACCTTCTATGTGAGGAGAAGCGCACATTTATACATGCTATTAAGGATGTCGATCATGTTATATACCTCACAAGCAGCAACCATTCTAAAATGTTTTTAATTCAGAAAAAATACTTAAATAGGACTGTAATATTAATTGTCGTGCAACAAAACCTCAATGCTCTTAGCCACGTCAAGATGTCATCTGTTGAGTGGGCTTCTTTTTGAGCGTCTGCAAAAATCACACCCCGAACAGAATGATTACTCAAGTGGCATGCATTTTTCAATTATTTTGGATGCCTTTATAAATTACGGTTTATTTATCGGAAACACGAACAAAAACATATTTTCTTGCATTCAGTTTGTATAAAATTACGGTATGGTAAAATTTCATACTCTGAGAAAGAATATCTTTCACTTTTACGAATTTTTTTAATTCATTAATAGTTTTTTAACAAAACCTGAAATAACGCTTGCATTCAGGATTTTCTGACTACATTCTGTATATATTCACTCAAAGGAAAGTCATACACTTCTTCATTTTATTACGCGTGAGTCATATAGGACGCGTAAGATTGTGTACTGGGTGTGGGTCACATGGTATAATTACCAAACAGAATTAATACAATTTTTGACATGATGCTGTATGACAGGATATATAGTGGTCTTTAAAAGTTTCATAAGCAGGAACACTTGATGGCGAAAATTATACATTCCTTAAGTGCAAAATTTAAAGACGCAATTTGCAAATAAACAGAAGAAAAAATATTTGTCATGTTTTCCACATAAAGCATGTAAATGCATAGGAACATCGAAAATCAAAAAGGATAAACCCTTACTGCATAAGCTGTCATTTTTCATATGGTGAAGTTCTTTACAAGCGGCCCAGAGGAGGCCTGTTTGAAGGCCGACATCCAAACCTGACTGAAATATCCTGTGGTCATGTTTCGGGTGAACCTACCTTAGCATTCTTCTCGGCTAAATCGCAGTTGGTAGCCAGGAATGGGGAAACGGACGGCGACCTTAACCCTAACCCTAATCCCAACCTTAAACGTTAACTGTTAACTCTAACGGCAACCCGAACCCTAACCGAAATCGTAAACGTAACCGTAGCCCTTAGATATAGCCGTAACTGAAAAACCTAACCGCACTATTGAAACCTAATCGTACGCTCAAACCCTAACCGTAATCCGAAAATCTAAGCCTGAAGGCATTACCCTAAACCGAAAATCGGAAACCATTAACCGGTACCCTAATCCTAACCTTAAACGTACCACGGAAGCCAAATGGGTCATATGTGATTATGGAGTCCCACAAAATAGCCCCAGCAAACAAATCCCCCGCCACCTCTAATACGGGGTCTGGCTACCAACTGCGATCTAGCCTTCTTTTCTAATCAAAAGCACATTTCATATTTTCGGCTATTATTTAGCGAGAAAACACATCTACTTATGTACTAGACTAAGTACAAAGTGCTCGCATTCACTGTAAAAAAGGATGGTGAACTTCATTATCGTCACGAGTTTTCTGCCCTTCAGATGATATGCATTGTTTAGAAGATGTTGCGTCTTATTATGCACTGGCGTTGAATAAATCACCACAAGCCACGCAAAAATGACACAAATGAAAAGTCTAACTGCCGCTTGTTTAGGGGTATGCTGAAAACCCAGAGCGATGCTCTCTTGCGAACTGTAACCAAAGAAGCGATACAAACGGCCTGAAAACAGATCAGCGTCCGTAGACGTTGCGAAGAGAAAGGAACAAGCTGCATACTTTTAGCATCAGCCACATTAATCTACAGCGGAATTCGAGAAGTGGCTGTTCGCTAAATGGTTTCGAATCGTTGTGTTTGTGGCTCTCACCTACAAGGTTAAACTGTCATTAACTACACAGTAAAAGCAGAAAAATTTCTCCGTAATGCCACCTGTGCGTTCAGTCAAAAAGAACACGACTTAACCCCCGATCTGATAGGATGTTTAAGCATAGAACGAAGTTAGTTTCGTGCCCAATATCTATAGCGTGGGTCAACTAGCGGTAAAAAAACCGGCATTCACTAAAATATCGATGACATTACCTTACCTAAACACATCCATTAGGACTCACACTTAGGTTTCTGTTTAAAGTTCCGCTGGTGAAAACTACTTCCATGGTGATTTGAGCGGATAGTCGACTGCCTGAACTAGGCTAAAAATGTGCGTCAAAAAATCTGGCGAAATAGAACGACATGGTGGCAAGAACGCGGGACAGTAACGCAAATATTCGACACTAAATTCCGTATTTTGGAAGTCTAGAGTTCTTACCGGACACCAGTCGACCGTGTTATATTAAGCGAGTATGCGAAAGTGGGCGGATATTTTCGAGGCACATTCAAGACACTTATTGGACAAGTAGCAGACCCCTTTAAATCATCCTTCTCCGCTTAAAAGTCTACTGTTCCGCCTCTAACCTAACACCTGGTCCTATACCACCTCATTTTATTTCAACTATTATGTGCTTGTTTTATTTGGGATGAAGAATGAGTAAACCTTTCCCACACATGTATTCAGAACTTTATTTCAAAACATGCACACCCTTTTCCTTTATATAATATGAGCGCTTATCTAATGATCATATGGACGCTGAGCTTGCAAAAGAGTGCACTGAAAGTTCCTCGTTTGATCAAAGTAGTTACTGTTGGGACTTTGTCGGCTCAGGCCCTTGCTCACTGTTTGGCGTTTCGTTGGGTACGGGGTAGGGTGGAGGATTCGCGTTGCCTTCGGCTATATGGGCGGCGTATTCGTCAATGTGCTTCAGAAAGTGATATCGTCCGTACCTGAAAAATATCAAGTTTGCGTAAGCTCACCTTGAAACTCCCATGTAACACCCAAGAGGTACAGAAAAGACCGAGATTTTGTAAAAACGAATCATCCACTATTTACTGCATTAGGCAGTGCGAAAAAAATTGTCAGGTTCTATCCGCTGCGTTGAAAGTGTTCAAGCATAAAATGATATCAGTTTTCATGGCTTTGCGAAATATACTTCCGAGCAGACATCCTAGACTATTGACTTTAACACAACATTACGGTATTTAGAGTCAGTTAGTAAATGCAAACGCTAATATGGCAGCTGTAAGGACATTTTTGGCCAAACAAATCATTCACTTTAGAGTTCCGAACTTTGAGAACAAATTATTTTGTAGCCAGTTATCCATAAGATTTAAAAACAGTCTTTTTCGAAAAAGCACTACTACGTAATCAGATAAAGCCACTGGAATAACTTTTACATATAGGTAATAAAAACAACAACGTAGGTTCTTACGATCGGTAGATACAGTGGGCCACAACGGCTATAAAGGAGAGAATAGAAAGCACAAGTCCTCCAATTATCATCCCGTCAACATTTACGGAGGAATAGCGAAATCTCACGCGCATTTTTCAGGCTCGAGAAATTTATTGTTTTCCTGAAAAAAGAAAAGAAACGTTAGGGGAAACAAATCGCTAAAACAGACTGCTTCCTGACTTTTGTGTGGTTCGTTCTGCCTTCGATACACTGTCTCTGCATAATATTTATATCCACTTGGATTCCACAGGAAATTGATTTTTTTTTAATGTTTTTGCATCACTTGCGCCGAGTCAAAAGTAAGAGTTCTAAAGATAATGCACTACATGAAACAACGTCAATGTAATTTCTGTCAGTTGAAAGTCCCACCACGACCCCTATGCTGAAAAATCACAGCCGGCTATTAACTCTTAATATCTAATTCTGAAGTAATTGGAAAAGCAGTATTGCATTGAAATACGGAAAACAGCGGGGCGTACCTACTGTAAACCTCCTCAGACGATGTTAAAGGGCCAAATTCCCTCTATTCACACAAGCATCAGCTATCCATCACATGGTTGCTAGCGACTCATTGGTTTATGGACTCTGCACACCCAGCCAGTGAAGTCATCTTCGTCGGGAACATCAGGTCAATTTGCGTGAACTTTTGAGTCATGTAGACTTTCTTTAACTTTGCCCCATAACCAACGCCCACTCGCGAATGAAGCAGAGAAAACCGATTCAGTGCTGAATGCCTTTTCTCCGACAGCTGATCACACTGAGGACGCCTAGGGAATTTTGCCATTTTAGTTCGCTTTTGAAGGCCGTTCTCTTTTCTTACCGTTATGTGCTTAGACAATTCACCCCTTAAAAGCTAAAATAACTTTGTTTTCTGTGAAACAGTAATGTGCCTGTACTGAACAGGTGTCGAACATTATGTATGGCATGCCCTCGGCGGGGTCCACTTTGCCGATTCACGAGTCTCTCCAGGATCGCGTGATGCGGTTGCATGACTTTACACATCCTCACATACAATAGGTGAGCTAACTCATGAAATGTCAACCAAAATGCCGAAAAGAGCTTTCGTTTCGAAAACATTAATTAAGTATGGTTGTAAAAACTAACCATCATACAGCATAATTCTTTCATCATTAAATTACCTCAGGATACCGGCTGTCGAACGGACTTCTTTTCGGCTGCATGCCAAAATTATACTCTATAAAAATGGCTATTTAAGTAACGAGCGTTTTTCTCATTGATTTTCGATGCCCTTAAAACTGCAATTATATTTCCTGGAAAAAATTATAAAGATATTCATTCTTTTGTTCATTCAGTAGATAATTACGTCTCCCTTTAATTTTGTGCTCAAAGGAAGGACATAATTCGGTTTTAAAAAATTTTCTCATTATGAGGTTTTTCAAGACTGTGAAATGTCCGTCTGTAAAAAGTCATGTCTCTACATTTACCAATATGGCTTATCAAGGTAACAATATGGATCAAATCCGCTGTTAAATTTTATGAACCCTATATGGTCCCGCTTTAGTACCGTAGACAAATGTGTGGTTTTCCATACGCGGAAAATATACGACTTACAATTTGGAAACCCTGAATCTACGTGTAGCGGTAGAGCGGATTCAAAATTACTCGGGAATCGGAAAAGTTTTTGAAAACCGAATTATACCCTTCCTTTGGGCATAAAATTTGAAAAAGACGTAATTTTCTAGCGATTGAGCAAAAGAACGAATATCCTTTTAAGTGTTTCCGGGAAATATAATTACACTTTTTAGGGCATCGAAAATCAATGAGAAAACGCATGCTACTTAAATAGTCATCTTACGGTGTATGGCTTTTGGATGCAGCCGAAGAAAAGTCCGTTCGACAGCTGGTATCCGGTGGTAATTGAATTACGATAGAATTATGCTGCGCGATGGTTAGTTTTACAACACTACTTAACTAATCTTTTCGAAACGAAAGCGCATTTCGAAATTTCGGTTGACATTTCATGATTTAATCCACCTACGGTACACTGCAAGCTAGTACCGTGCAAGAAGCTCCATGGGGTAGACGGCGTCAAATGGATTTGGCAGTCCAGACTTCTATAGGCAGTACACTGAGAATTCCCGCTGAACGCGGAGATGCACGAGGTGGGTGCCTTTACTTCGCTCAGTGCATGTCCCCTAGTTCTCCTCTGTGGCTCTACGCATCCCCGTACATCATGGCGTCTAAACTTCCGTAGCCTTCCTTGACTGGCAGAGTAGACCAGATGGCAGTGTTTGGCCTATTTCTGCCCTCACACCGGCAGTCGTCAAAGTTATCCCCATCCGCAGATCAAAAACTCCTACAAAGTGAGCAACGTACAATCCTGAAGTCCGCTCAAGTTATTTCGGGTTATTTTCACACTAAGTAAAAATCTTTAGTCTTGGCAAAATCCAGCAGCCACTTAGGATGATAAGGCGACCCTATTTAGGGGCAACCTTCATTGTCCTCTAGCGCGTAGGGAACTTGAAAATTTTCCGCTGTAAAATGCTGGAAAAACATGTTGTCTCAGACTGACCATGCCTTGATGACGTTGAATATGCGGCTGAAAACTTTCAACAAACGAAAATACCCCGCCGATCCCTGTGCTTCCCCACAGGCTGACAGAGTGACCCTGTCTCAAAGAAGGAGACACGATCACTGGGACAAGAGCTTTATTAGCCGGACACTTCGGATTCCTGCTCGAACCCATCATCAGAGATAAAAACAGATAAGGGTGGTTCATGCACATGCGGCTACAGTATTTGAGGGATGCAATCGCATGTTACCGCATACCTATGAACATTCACGGCTCCCCCTCCTTCATCCGGGATCGTCGCACGTGGTGTGATGGCCGACATTCGCGTCGCTAATTGCTGCAATTTCCTCACGTGCGTTGTGTGTTGGTGTGATGATTGCTCGATCATCTGATCAACCGACCCTGAAGTTGGGGAGAGTGTTCACTTGTGCGCTCCCCGCGTGGCTAACCACTCCGCACAGGCGAAGAGTGACCCTGTGTCATCTGACGTCCGGGAATATTTGGCCACTCTTAGATCATGCGATGGCAAATCAATCAGAAATAAGGACGTTTCAAGTCGTCCAGGCACTGACCCTCCACACTGCAGGCATTGCAGCTCTAAATGAGACCTACTTCTCCGAACAGGCAGCCAGAGTAGATGAACGCCGTTGCACACCCCTGAATTAATGATGATATCCTGCTGCGGATGCAGTGCAGTCGGATACCACACATTGAACGCCAGCGCAGACACGGCGTCTGGGCCAGTCCCAGCAAACAGAAGCACTGGCAGTCCCAGGAAACGCATTGATAATCCCGACCAATACCCCTCCTTCGCAAGTCCTGGCACCCAACTGTCATCCGTGGCCCCAAGGCGCTGTACTAAACTCGACGGCCACATCTCGGTAACCGTTATTGACCGGCGGATTAACCTGGATGAGTGGGTCCTCACAGTTGCGCACTTTCGGAGCGTCGACCCTATGCAAATAGGCCATCGACCGATGTCCTCAAGAGAATGACAACAGCAGCTGTTCAATGGAAAAGCACTGGGAGCCGATGACATTCCAGCCGAAGCCTACAGGTACGACGGTCACAACAAATGGGTTATTTTATTTCGCCCATTCATGAGATGTAGCGACAAGGGCAGATACCATAAAACTTTAAAAGAATGTTACTTTCGCGCGCATCTGCATGCATAAGAGCAACCGCCAACTCTGTGGCAACTGAAAAGGCATCCTTCTCGTCAACATCCCTGTCATGTTCTACTTGATCGCCTGCATCCATAGCGACGATGTCTTCCAAGAACACAGTACGGATTCCAAAGGCCTCACAGAGAACCGGAGACATGATCATCTCGACCCACCACAGGCCAGGAAAGGAGGAAATACCTGCACGCCAAGTTTTGGATTTTTCGAAGACTTTCAATACAGTGGATCGCTATAAATTGGAAAACCGTGCAAAATTTGCATTTCCTCAGTGACTCACCCAAGTAGTAGGGCAACTTAACGACCGGATGGTATTGTTTATCACATGCAATCGAGCAGTCGCGGTGCCTAGTGCGGCGAACCTGAACTGCGCGAACTTTCTCACCTCAGTTCGCTTCATGGTCTTAATCAGACTGATGGACACCTACCATGAGTATTCGCTGACGATCGACATGACACTAGGACCGGCGAACCGGTGTCAGAGGGTGAGAGTGTGGTAAAGCAGCGCATTGTGCACTATAGGAAAACTGACGTGCTTGAACCCATCACGGCAGTCTAAGAGTCGCAGACTGGAAGGCTGTCAATTTTAAGGATAACGCCGCACTCATGGGAGTACAGTGCGTGACCTATCTCATGAAATGTTGGCTGAAATTCTGAAATGCGTTTTCGATTAGGAAGGATTACTTGGTCGCGGTTGTAATACTGCTTATCTTAACGCATACTCTTATGACATTTCGGACTCGGCAGGATGTCGGCTTTTAAATGAACTTCTTTTCAATCTCCTGTAGAAAGCGTACTCGGTAAAAAATGACTACTTAAGTAGCATACATTTTTCCCATTGATTTTCGATGGTCTCTGAAATTCAAATATATTTTATAGAAACTACAAACAAAAATATGCTTTCTTTTAGTCGACCAATAGAGAATCACGTCTTCTTTATATTTTATACTTAAGGAAGGAGTATAATTAGGTTGTAAAAAAGTTTCATATTATGAGACTTTTTAAGACCGCGAAATGTCCATTCACATAGCATCGTACCTGGCCGTTTACCACTGCTCCTCATGAAATGTACAACATGGTCCGCATCCATTGCAAAATTTTATGGACCCTGTATGATATCTCTTTAATGACATAGAAAATATGGGATTTTCTTTACGCGGAACGCATGCACCTTGTAGAATGTAATCACTTAGCGCTAATGCAACGAATGATCAGGCTCCAAATTATTCGGCAATTAGAAAACTTTTTTAAAACCTAATTATACTCCATCCTTGAGCATAAAATATAAAGAAGACGTAATTCTCTATTGATTGACTAAAAGAAAGCATATTTTTGTTTATGGTTTCTATAAAATATATTTGCATTTGCAAGACCATCGAAAATCAATGGGAAAAATACATACTACTTAAGTAGCCATTTTTTACCGAGCACGTTTTCTACAGGAGATTGAAAAGAAATTCATTTAAAAGCCGACATCCTGCCGAGTCCGAAATTTCATAAGAGTATGCCTTAAGATAATTAGTATCACAACCGCGACGAAGTAATCCTTCCTAATCGAAAACGCATTTCAGAATTTCAGCCAACATATCAGGAGATCGGCCACTTACTGTAGGTGCCGCATTCGTGGGAATCTCTCTGTTCGGGTCATCCTGCACTGTCTCCCTCTTAGTGTGGGCGCTATGCTACTCGCACTGATTTTAGATCTTACCCGCCCTTACAGGAAACTACATGCACTCAGAGTAGAAGCAGGTTCCGGATGGCGCGCGTAGACCTGTTGAGAGCGCTAAGGACAGAACAGTCAATCCCAGACTATGGATATCAGGATAAGAACAGAGTTATGAAAGAATTAACAATCAAAAGTCAAACGACCTGACAATACAACAGATGCCGAGCGCGTCGCATTGTGTTGTGTTCCTTCCATTCAGTTAAACAATCAGTAAGTTCAAGAATGAGGAACAGGTAGGGAAAGGCAAGATAGTCTGGCGCCTCGGCCCAGTACCCCCCCCCCGCTCCGAGACCGGAGGGCGGTGAAACCGACATCGAAGGATGTGTACAAGTCTAAAATAAATGAGTGACGACCACTGCGAGCGATATATACAGGGTCCGTAGAAGAGTGAATGCATCTGGTTGCGGAAGTGTTGGAGTAAGTGGTGGCAGTGGGTGCTGGCGCACAGGAGGGCAGAAGGAAAATACGAGATGGTGGTATAGAGGCTGCAGGCGGGGATCAGAAGGTGGAGGACCACAGGGCTCATCCGGAAGAGTGTCCGGGACGGCAGCCTTGAGGCGGTCCACATTCAAGACCCCCTCACTATTGTCACGTTGAATGCGGAAAGTCTTCGTCCCGCGAGAGAACACCCGAAATGGGCCGTCATAGGGCAGTTCCAGAGGCCGGTGGACTCGATCATATCGAAGGTAGACGTGAGAGCACATTGCCAACTCCTTCTTGAGATAAGACGGAGAGGCGAATGACCTGGGAGGAACCAGAGAAAGTGTCCGCATAAACTGCCGGAGGCGATGCAGGAGGTTGGTGGGATCCTCAACTGCACCTCGCGGGGTTGGCGAGATCATCTCACCGGGGAGTCGGACGGTGGCGCCGAACACCAGTTCAGCTGCGGAACAGTCAAGGTCCTCCTTGAGAGCGGAGCGGATGCCCAAGAGGACCAGGGGAAGGTGGTCCGTCCAGTTATCCGGATTGGCCGCGGCGCGTAAGGAGGCCTTCAGTTGGCGGTGAAACCGTTCGACCATCCCGTTAGCAACCGGACGATAGGCTGTCGTCTGGGTGCAGATACAGCCTAAAAAGGAGGGTAAAGACTGGAAGAGGTTAGACTCAAAATGGGCACCACGGTCAGTCGTGATTGTGGAGGGTGCACGAAAGATAGCAACCCAACGACTGATAAAAGCCTTGAACACCGTTGGAGCAAAAATGTCAGGCAGGGGAATTGCTTCAGGCTACCGAGTGAATCGATTTACGCAGGTGAGGAGATAGGAACAATCATTGGACAGAGGCAGGAGGCCTACAATGTTCAGGTGAAGGTGGCCGAACCTTGCATCAGGGCCAGGGAAAGTGCCAATGGGGGCCTTGTTGTGCCGCTGGATCTTACTCCGTTGACAGGCGATACAAACTCGTGTCCATGCTTTGAGTTCCTTGTGCATCCCAGGTCAGACGAAGCCATCGGGAACCAGCTTGTCGGTTGCTCGACTCCCAGGGTGAGAGAGATTGTGCAGCGAGGAGAAAACTTTGCGGCCGAGGGATGGTGGCACAAATGGATGATGGAAAGGGGTGGATACGTCGCACAAAATGATGCCGTTGCCAGTTATCAATGGTAGTTCCCGAAGATGGAGTCCGGAAACATCCTTGTCACAGGGTGAACCGACACGGCGTTGTTCAGCGGCCATCTCGGTGAGGTCGATCTCGGGTGAAAGTCGAAAGTGAGCGATAGAGGGTCTGGACAGTGCGTCAGCCACCTCATTCCGTGACCCGTCAATATGGCGGATGTCTGAAGTGAACTGCGAAGTGTAGTCCAGGTGGCGGATCTCCCGGGGGGTTTAGTTTGTCAGAGTGGGAATGCATAGCAAAAGTGAGTGCCCAATTATCTGTGAAAATTGTGAAGTCTCGATCTTCGAGTAAATGCCGGAAGTGCCTTACCGCAAGATAAGCGACGAGAAGTTCGCGTCCAAATGTGCTGTAGCAGATTTCGGCCTTGGATAGTTTCCTGGAGAAGAAAGCCAAAGGCACGGTAGAATCTGGCAGACTTTGTTGAAGAACCGCGCCAACAGCAATATTGGAGGCATCGACCATCAGAGACATGGGTGCATCAGCATGAAAGTGAGTCAGGAGGGTGGCATCAGCCAAAAGGGCTTTTACCTGCTCAAATGACGTGAGTGCTGCTGGTGGGAGTTTGAAGGTGTGCTTAGAAGCTGAGAGGAGACAGGGCAGAGGTAGGATGGTATCGGCACAGTTAGGGAGAAACCGACGATAAAAGTTCACCATACCAAGGAACCGTTGCAACTGACGCTTCGAGGTAGGGAGTGGAAAGTCCCGAATGGCGGCAACCTTTGAGGGAAGAGGCCGAATGCTGTTTGAGTCTTTTAGATGACCTAGGAACTTAAGAGAAGTGGCTGCTAGGACACATTAGGCAGGATGCAGGGTGATACCAAACTGCTGAAATCTGTTGTCCGACTCACTCCGTCTTCCCTGACTTTTGGTTGGAAATCTTTGTCTTGTCGACTTCACCACTTTGTCTCTGTTAAACGCTGCGGTCGCGTTTACTCATCCAAGCCATCTTAGGACTAACTCGCATCTGAGCAAGATGGATGGGGGAAGGACTAGTGCGGTAGATACTGCGCGTGTCCACCCCACATCAAACTAATTCACTCATCAATTGCGGTGCTGGGCCACTCCGCGGGGCACGCGGTGAGTGTCAGAGCTTGTGACGCTGAAAATTATTATTTTTCAAGCCATGTTCTTGTCAGAAAGATAGATAAAATGGTGGTGCGTACATTTTTTGCAGTCAGCAATTAGGTCAGTTTTCAAAATGACATTTCTTACACAGCCAGATGCAAGTGTTTCGTGTTCTCATCTCTTCAGTTGCCATAAGTGACTGTTAGACGAGCTGTATGTTGTTTTGCTCTCACAATGTTGGAGAGTCCCCAGATAAAACTTTCTGGATTCGTACAAATGTCAATAGCCCATGAGACGACGGGCATGTTGGGGGCACGTAGGGAATTAGACGGGGGTGAACTGAAGCGATTTATGAATATAGCTCTTTTGTCAACGTTTCTATTATTGCCTGAAAATTATTAAAATAACAATGACCAAAAGGCACGTTATTTGTGAAACAACAATGCTTGAAATTGTCTAAACATTGGCATGCTTTACTTGGCCTCTTCCCCGTAAAAATGTAGTGGCCTAATGAGAATTTAGCAAAATCAGACGTATTCTCGCGAAATTGTCTTCTGAGAGTAAATGTCGTCGACAGTACTCAAAACTTTCGAAATCTAATCGTTCATTGGTTGATGGATCAATATTTTCTCCTTATTCCCAATAAACAATCAGTGGTCAATCATATGAGATGTTAAGCAAAATTCTGAAATACATTTTTCAGCTAGATAAAATCACTGAAGTGGAGATGTAAGACTGATGCTCCTATGGTTCACTCCAATGATATTTCAATCACAGCGAAATGTCTGCTTTTGGATGAGCTCCTGTCCACCCGGCTGCAAAAACCAGACTCGATAAAAAGGATTTCTTAAACAGCATGACTTTTTCTATTGCTTTTTGATGTTTCTGTGGATTTAAATTTACTTTGTAGAAAGCACGGCCAAAATGCAACTTTCTGTACTTTGCGGAAGCAAATCACATCTTCTTCAAATTCTATTTTCGAAGTAATGTTTCGTTTTGGCTTTAAACATTTACGGTTGGGATATTTATGCGGCCGCAGAATATGTTTTCCGGTAACCGCATGCTTAGCTGTCTATTGATGCCTTTTTAAGAAGTTTTCTAAAGCGGAAAAGATATTCTTTCTTTGAGTATGAAATCAAATAAAGACGTATTCACATGTCAAATGAGTACAAGACAGAGTATTTTGCCTACGCTATAGGTATAAAATTTGAATTTATAAGGACATCGAAAAACAGTGGAAAAAATTATATCAACTATGTAGTCATTTTGGACTGTGTGTGGTTTTGTAGGCGGTCATTAGAAACTCATTTAAAAGTCCACAGTCTGGTGTGGCTGAACGTCTTTGGGATTTTGCTGAATGATTATTCATATAACAGTCTTACCCAGGTCATCCTCTGGAGTCGAAAACGCATTTAAGAATTTCGGCAGCATCTGCTGTAGTCTTCAGGTTTTTTGCTTAACTAAGTAGTATCTTTCGGCTTCAACAAATTGTTCATTCTTGATTTATTTTAAACCCAATCTACTATTGCATTTGCCTTTGGGGTTTTTGAACCATATGGTAAAAATCGCACATTTGTTTGCGCAATTAAAGAGAGGTCATATAGAGTTTAGAAATTGTTGTAAAGAGTGTGGACCACTGATAAAGAGACGTTTCGTGAGATATATCAAAAGAAGCTCAGAGGCCACTGCAGTGCTGCTCTATATAAAACATGTGACACAATACTCGCATTCACAGAATAAATCGACTCATTGTAAGCATTGGTTACGACTTTGCTATATGCCTTGTTCATGTGCGAGCACGTTTGTTGTTGAACAAATGTTCAAAGTAAGTGCTTAGACGGTCACTGTTACATATTAGCTAGTACCGTCTTGGTAACGGCTTGGTAGGTAGCATTTACTTTCGGTGGACAAAACCACGATTACTTTATTTTCGTTGACGCACAGTAAAGGATGACTAAAGGCCTCAGACTCCGTCTGTTTGCATCGATTCTTCTAAGCGCCTCCCCGCGTAGTATAGAAAACAGACAGATACAGGTGCAGGCTGCTCGCGCATGACCGTCTGGGCTCATCCAATCTGGCACGCTTAAGAAGCGTTCAATACACATCTGTGTGTAGAGTTCAGCTAGCAAAAAGGCTTCACATAACTGCTTCAGTTTCCTCCTTCTCAGGTCAGGTCTCTGTCCCTATAGTTAACAGACCAGTTTAGTTGACGTGTTTTTAAAGCAGCTTGGCAGCAGATTTGCCTAAGACAGTAAAAACTACAAATTTATTGTTCATTGAAATAGCTTTTTATATAATATTTTTGAGTAAAGACAAGTTACGTCATTGCCCTGAAAGAAGTCCACCTTTGGTGCAAGCAATTACTTCAAAGAGTAGACTAAGTCAGTCTCCCATCTCGATGCTTCTTGCTTTGTGCTGTTTCAACTTATGGATCACAGAATAATCTCTACTTTTTATAACTTAGTAAAAATATGGTGGACGTGGAAACTTATATCATGGATCTGGCTATCGCCTGTCTAGTTCTTGGATGTTTTGCATTCGGGTGTTTGTGGTCTTATATACAAGAAAAAGGGTAAGCAACTAAATGGATCCATTCACAATAGTGTCTTTTTTAAGTTTCGCCATAAGTATAATCTAAGATGGTTTTGTTCATTTTTAGGGAGGATGACTCCACCACGTCTTCCTCTTCTTCCTCCCACAGTGTAAACCTTCCCTCCGACATCTAGTGACGTATTGTGTTTTGTATGCCACCTCATGATGTATTAGGCAATCTACCTTCAGAACAGATGCTGCCAAGCCGCACAAACCAAACTGTTTCTAAATACAACCGGAGTCTGTTAGGCATCTTTTTTCTCTAAAATTTACTGAAGCATGCTTTCCGGGTACATATGGATCGTCAATGCAGTAAGAGTTCGAGGACAAATCGCACTGTCCTGAAATGCCAGAAAGAAACCTACTTATAGGTACTTTTTAGATCTCTTGCATCGAAACTATTGAAACAGGACTAATTATCCGGAAAAATCGAAGTAAAACAGTCTCAGTATTGCTTATGTAATCTTTTCGCATCGATATCATACCTTAGAAATTTGGTTAATACTTCACGTGATAGCACATCAACTCGTTACCAAATACATTGAGGGACAGATCTCATCAAATGTTGGCCGAAATTCTGAAATGGGGTTTTCGATTATGCGATTATCAGGACCGTGCGATGTCCACAGAGACAGTATCGCACATGCCCGTTTACTAATGCTCCTCATAAAATGCGCAACATAGGTCGCATCCATCTCAACATTCTGTGGACTGGAAATGGTGTCTTTCTAAAGGCATAGAGGAATATATTATTTTCTCTAAGCAGAAAGTATGCATCTTGTAGACTTAAATCGTTAGACGCCAATGCAACGGTTGATTTTGCTCAAAATTACTCAGGAATTGGGAAACTTTTTAAAATCAAAAGACAACCTTTCTTTGGCTATAAATGTAAAGACAATTCGATTTTCTACCAGACGAGCAAAAAAAGAATATTTTGTACATGTTTTCTAAAAAAATATATTCGAATTTATAATGCCGTCGAAAATCAATGCTGAAAACATATGCTACTTAACCATCCATTTTTACCGAGTGTGATCACTGCAGGAGATCGAAAAGATGTGCATTCAAAAGCTCTTATCCTGGCCAGTACGAAATACTTTAGGATCATGCCGTATGATAATAAATATTACAACCCCACCTAAGTAGTCCTTCCTAGTCGAAAACGCATTTCAGAATTTCGGCCAACATTTCATGAAATCGCTCACTCACTTCTAGTACAAAAAGGAATACGTCTGTATGTGTTCCATTTTAAATATATTTGAGTTTATAAGGGTACCGAAGACCAGCATGAAAATATATGCTCTTTAAGTAGTCGTTTTACCAGCATGGTTTTTCAAATGGCCGAAAGAAACTCACTCAAAGCCGACATTCTGCTGTTGATGGAATATATTAGTATTATGATGGAAAATAATCTATATTACAAAATCACCTACGCAATCCTTCCTAACTAAGAGCACCTTTTGAAATTTCGATCATTCTTTTATGATATACGTCAGCCCCTGTGGGCAGTGTGTACGCCAACATTTTCTAAAAAATGGATGCGTCTAACACGAACGTATTCTTCAATACAGATTTGAAGCATTGCATATAAAAGTCTCGTCTTCTTCAATATTCTGCTAAGTTTAATGGTCATTTTAAACAGATTTTTCGGAAATAATCCAAATTCATAGACTCATGTCATCTTAGCAGTTTTTGTCTGCGTGCATTTCTTCCTCCTTTTGATACCAAACGTTGAGCATGAGTGAGCATGCTCGAATGCTCCAAATTCAACTAAATGAATAAACAATCTGAGCTTCATCGAATTCGACAACATCTGTCATATTTCATATTTTCATTTGCCCAAGAGGAGATGCGAAGGGAGTTCAAGTTGTGTCATTTGTGTGCGGATGGTTTCGTTTTCAATAAGAGCATCTTGTATCGAACTTGTTTCTTTATTTTGTTAACTGTACTGATTTGAAATCAAGACAGTTAATTATTGGAGTTGTTGATGAATTTTGAAACAGTCAGCTTTTTGTGATTGGATTAAAGGTATCCTATCCACTTAAAAGCATATGCTGCAGTGTAAGAGTTACCTAATGTTTGTTAATTTAAACGAAGCGTACAAAAGGAACTCAAAGTTGAATATGTTCTGCACGAGTGTCGGCAATTTAAGACGTTCGACGTCGATATTTTTAAAGTTTAATGTTTAAAAATTTATTCTTTTTTGAAACCTGACTCCCTGGTGTGCAGAGGGGTATAATTTTGTTTGTCAGTAGCTTTTCCTGGGGAAAGTGTGTAACACAAATTAAGACCCCTGCCTTTATTCTTTATTTTATCAAAATGCACAAGATAAGGTTATTGGCTACATTTTAAACCCGTGTTATCACCGACCGCCTCCAAGTCTCGTAAAAGAAGTTCACTTTGTGCATATTGAAAAAGGACCCAGCTTTGCAATTCCTACAGCCAGGGTCCTTGCATCGGACTAGAAAACAAGATGCATAATGACGGCTGGCGAGTTTATTCATGGAGTTATGAAGACAGGATAATAAATGGAGTTGGTTTGACGCCGGAGATATCGGTCTTGGTAAAGCTGATGTTCCCGAGATCTACTAACTAATAAAATTCTGGGATGCGGCATAAATAGGCGTAGGCTTTGTGGAACGTAAATATGAGTCGTCCGGCAAAAAATCTATTCCTCTTTAACCGAAAATATGGAAGGTACATTGGTGGCTACGGCAAATACAGTCAGATTTTAGTAAGGAAGTTCGTGTAGGGTTGAAGAGGAGGTTTGCTATCATAATGATTACATATACCATTAATGCCACTGAGAGCGTCAAAGGTCACCTGAATATTCAGGCTGAGAAACGGAATATGCTTCTTACTTATTGTCGATTCGAACAATGAGTGGGGCTTCTTTAGGCGAACGGCCATGCTCATCCAATATTTCGCATGTGCATTAGCTGATTTGCAAAGGAACTGTCTGATACGACATCCCGACAGGTCATTGTTCAATGTGCATCATCAAGCTAGATCGCTTTTTGCGGACAAATACCGCATCACCGTGTATTGCAAATATTCTGCGCCGACTTGGTATAGCGTGAGCTTTCCCATGCAATACGAAATGTGCTCCCATGCATTTGGGAGAAATTAATAATTCATCTTGCGCTCTAATTTAAAATATTTGGAAAAATACCGTTTAATCGCCAACTTGCACATTGCCGTATTGCTTAAGTCAGTTTTTGACCAAAGCTGATACATTACAGACAGAAACTGCCATTTTAAACTGACTGAGCATTGCATTCGTGAAATGTGCATGACAGCTATGTCCTCTGGTGCGGTGAGACCGTGTCGGTTTCGTCAGTCTAGCTAACCAGCTGAAGGATCGCTTGGTTGAGCACTTAGATACACACCACTGACATGAATGCCTCCTGGTGTCCTTTCAGATCACGCCTTGTCTAACCTCCTGACTGACCTCAAGACCGCTCTCTAAAATTGGTCTCAGTGTGCACGCAGTTACATGTTAGGATGGGTCGCCTTTTGTTGCTCATAAAGTCCTGTCATGAGTCCAAATGACGGCATGTCAGTAAATCATACAACGAGGTCGACTAGGTTTCGCCTATTAGCTGAACACCCTGCATTTTACGTCTACATGAACTCTCTCAAATTTATTTGAATTCAACTTAATTAAGTAAACAGTCGTGTATGGTGTGAAGTTTAAAAACCTCGCTGACACAAAACTAAATGAAGTATAGAACAGCGAAAGTTGAGCTCTTATTTCGTAGTGCTAGGGGTTAGGGTTAATGCTTGGGGTTAGGGCTAACGCCTAGTGTTATGGGGTTATGGTTACCGTTAGGGGGTTAGGGGAAGGGGTTAGTGTTAAACTCCCTAGTACCACAGTTTCTATATGACAGGCGACTGGGGCTTGTCTACTGCAGGTGCGGCTACGAAATAAGATCCAACCCGACAAGATTTCAGATGGTAATTTTACGAACACCTATACTTGTTAAATATAAACGCACCCCCTGCATTACTTGTGTGTAATATATCTTGGTGATTTTTTGTCTTGAGCCATGAATAAAGAGTGAGAATTGTGCAAGCCTAAAAAAGCACAATACCCACTGAAATCCCTGGTTTACCGACCCCTAAACTAGCCTTTTGATCATAATGTGGATGGTAGCGCGAATCAAATTCGATAATATCCTGCGAGGATTCAGCTGGTTTTTATTGCCTTGAGAACTTTAAGTACTGCTCTTTACGCAGAATAAGTCAAGTATACCACAGGTGATTCTGCAGCAGCATCGGGCATGAGTGCTTCGATAGGTTATTGCCGAATTCACGGGAGGAAATCCAGAAAAGTTTGAAAAAAATTCTTCGGGGATTTGATCCAAGGCCATAAATCTAGCACGCATTTTATATGGAAAATTTCCTTTTTATGCAAACAATGGCATTTGGAGTTTTCCAAGTCTCGTTAACTACTGATGTGTTCGAGAGACAAACTGATCCGATTAAAAACTACGCAACGCCTTGAATCTATGATTCCGGCATGTCAACCGTCACCATTTGACAGTCCGGCTAGATTTCACACTGAATTCCGACCTCATATTGCAACGGATTTGATGCATCCTCATGGTAGCATTGCGGCTTTTTCGTCTTCCGACTATCTCTTAAAATCGCAGAAACCTGACCTACTGTCGGCGGGCCAGATCGTGTGTGGCACTCGTAGACAGGATGGTTAGCTTCGTAAGTTACTGTGCCCAATCCTCTTGGCTCTGTCTGGCCACGGGGTACATTTGGGTATGTGTGACAGATGTTATCATTGTAAACCAATTCCCGAGCATTTCAACGTCCGGGGCCAACCTTGCTGTTACGCACATGGTGGACATCGTCTAAGCAATTATCGAATTGTCATGGGTCACGTTAAGCCATTTTAGTCCTATAAACCAATGTCATGAAAATTTTAGCGAAACAATATTAAATAAATCGCAATAAAAACCGCGATAAGCAATTGTTGTTCGAATACATTTTTGAATTAGATAGAAGGTTTTTTAGTCAGTTCTTCAGGACTGACCTTGGGTCGAATAGAAGCAGATAACGCCAGCAATCCGAACAACATTAAATTGCAAATCTCAAAAAAACACTTAAACATGAGATGAGCATTAAAATACATAAACATACCATAAATACTAACATTCATGCTTTGCATTTCTTCTGCTTTCCTAAGCTCGTCTGCCAGACACCAAGCCTACAGTGTTACACTTTCCATTGGTAACCAGTCAGACACGGCAGAACACCCACCACTCTAACTGGAAATATTGCACATGTAACACACCCTCTAATTTTATATTGCACCCTTATTGCAGATTTTCACGTTTACTTCTAGTAGGATCGATTTTTTTGGTTTCTGATACTTTTTCTTATGACCCCCGCATACGTGTGTTCGGTGTCGTGCTTGCCATCTATGTTCGTTATTTTCTCTGACTATAAACGACGTAGGTGCGTACATATCCGAATATGGGTCAAACTGAACGACGTTCGCCGTTACAAGGCGCCCATGGTGGACAGAATATTTTTGATCCCAAAACTATTTACCAAATTTGCTAACCTTCATAACAGTTTGGCATGTTCTATCCATTGTGTTATTACTGTGCCCTTAAATATACGTCTTGTTGTTTGAATTAACCTACCGGTTCGCGAACTCTTAAGTATGCGGAGACCCAAGGCAAATTAAACGTGCAACCGGCATGGAGGAGTTTGTGGCGGTCAATGATGTGAGATCAACTTAAACCACGCACAATAAGTTCGTTTCGTCTACTGTCAGAAGTCAGGGAGCTGCGAGGACTAGTTTATTCTGTACACAGGGCAGGTTGCCGTAAGTTGGCGGTTTGCTTGCAACAGAGAAAAGCGTCCGTACACGGAGAGCGTCAGTCACGGTGTGTTGTTTACGCGGGTGTGAGTGTCTAGGTCAGCAGGAGGGGGTGACTGGCTGAGTGTTGGTTGTGTGATTGGACAAATTAGGGAAGGAATGGAGGGCGCATACCCACGAGGCCTCACGGGAATCAAGCCAGAGCGTTCGACGCGCGTTAGGTGATACTAGTTTGTGAGGGCAGCCGGGAGTCACTGCAGCTGGACAGGAGGGGCCCCAGTTCTAGCCGGTGTGGGTGGTCGTGTGTCAGCGGCCTGTCAGTGCTTGTCACGGCCATCGACCGACAAAACGGAGCCGGAGAAAAGGGGGGCTGGAGCGGCTGCTACAACTCCCCCCCAGACACCAAACGAAGTGAAGGCGTCGACATGCTAGCCAGCAACAAACCTGTCGGGCCAGTGGACGTGACGACCAGATCGTGTGTGGCGAACCGGAGGGGGGCTGTCGCCAGTAGGTGGAGGAGGCCGCAGTGTCTGAGGCGGGGTACAGTGTTGGGGTGAGGGATGGTCACTGTCGTCGATGTAGGCCGGCTTGACGCGATCAATGCTGACTGTGTCGGTCTTGCCGTTGCGGTCGATGACAAAATCTTTGTCAGATCGACGAAGGACTTTATACGGCCCGTCATAGGGTGGTTGGAGTGGTCGTCGGACAGCGTCATGCCGAACCCAGACGAAATCGCACTTATCCAGGTCGGGTGGGATGAAGGAATTGGCCGGTGACGCCCGAGGGGGCGTTGCGCGGAGATTGCGCATGGCACTACGTAGTCGCTCCACATAACTGCAAGGTTCAAGAAACGTTAGCGTGTTTGAAGGAGACACTAACTCACCGGGCTGTCGTAGGGAGGTTCCGTAGACAAGATCAGCTGCAGTGCAACCGATGTCGGCCTTGAGAGTGGAACGTAGGGACAACAGCACCAGGGGAAGGTGATCAGACCATCGGGAAGGATCGGGCTGGGCCATAAGGGAAGTCTTCAGCTGTCGATGGAAGCGTTCGACGAGACCATTTGCTTGAGGGTGGTACGCTGTTGTTCGGATTCGGTTGGTACCGAGAAGGGATGTGAGTTCGCGAAACAGCGTGGACTCGAATTGGGATCCGCGGTCAGTGGTGACAGTCGCAGGAACTCCAAAATTGGACACCCAATGAGTCAAGAAAGCTTTCGCAACGGTTTCAGCACTGATGTCCGGAATGGGCGCAGCAACCGGCCACCGAGTAAAGCGATCAATACATGTCAGCATATAGGTAGAGCCGTTAGATGGTGGCAGCGGACCTACCAGGTCAATATGCACATGACTGAAGCGCGCATCAGGGGTGGCGAAAGTTCCTGGCGGAGTAATGGTATGCCGATGCGTTTTGGCTCGTTGACATGGTAGACAGGAGCGGGTCCAACGCCGTACATCCCGGTTGATGTTGGGCCAGACGAATCGGTCAGTGATGAGTTTCACTGTCGCCCGGACTCCAGGGTGGGATAGATTGTGAAGAGCGTTAAACACTCGTCGTCGTAAAGTTGCTGGAACAAAAGGACGTTCGTGTCCGGTAGAAAGGTCGCACGTGATGGTGCCAGTGCCAGTGGGAAGGGGGACATCTTGAAGGCGTAAAGAAGAGTTCTCGTGGCGGTATTGGGAAAGTTCGCCATCCGATCGTTGAGCCTCAGCCATGAGCATGAAGTCTATGGCGTCTGTTGTGATGGAAGCCATCTCGATTCTTGAAAGAGCGTCAGCAACCACATTTTCCTTACCGTGGACATGTTGGATGTCGCAGGAAAACTGTGAGATGACGTCAAGATGACGGATTTCACGGGGCGAGTATCGATCGGGAGAGGCCCTCAGTGCAAAAACGAGTGGCTTGTGATCTGTTAGAACAACAAATTCACGACCCTCGAGGAAATGACGGAAGTGCCGGATGGATAGATAGACGGCAAGGAGTTCGCGGCCGAAGACACTGTAGCGGGTCTCTGCTGGGCTGAGCTTCTTCGAGAAGAAAGCCAAAGGCTGTAGAACACCACGAACAGTTTGCTGAAGTGACGCACCAACGGCAGTGCTGGAAGCATCTGTCATGAGAGTTAGTTGGGCATCTGAGCGAGGATGGGCAAGCAATGTGGCGTCCGCAAGTGCGGCCTTGACGTCATTGAAGGACCTGACGGCCTCCTCGGTCATCACTAGTGTCTTCTTGGAGTGGGTCAGCAAGCTGTTGAGAGGCTGCAGTATGGTGGCACCATGGGGAAGAAAACGGTGATAGTAGTTCACCATCCCCAAGAATCGGCGTAGTTGGCTGATGGTTGTCGGGACGGGGAACGTTGATATGGCCGAAACTTTTTCCGGGACGGGCTTTATCCCATTTGAGTTCACTTCGTGACCAAGGAAGATAAGACTGGGGACTCCAAACTCACATTTGGCGGCATTGATGATAACGCCGTAGGAGTCGAGCCGTTCGAAGAGCTGTCGAAGATGAATCTCGTGTTCAGCAGCGTCAGAACTAGCCACCAGCAAATCATCAATGTAGGCGTAGACGAAGTCGAGACCTCGCAGAACCTGATCAATGAATCGCTGAAAGGTTTGAGTGGCGTTCCTCAGACCAAAGGGCATACGAGTGAATTCGAATAACCCAAAGGGAGTGGTCACTGCAGTTTTCGGAACATCACCGGCCTCGATCGGGATTTGATGGTAGGCACGCACAAGGTCGATCTTAGAGAATATTCGCTTACCATGTAGCGAAAGAGTGAAGTCTTGGATGTGCGGAACGGGATACTGGTCGGGGACAGTCACAGAGTTCAACGCCCGATAGTCACCACACGGTCGCCAGTCGCCGCTCTTCTTTGGGACAAGATGGAGGGGTGATGCCCAGCAGCTGTCGGACTGTCGGATGATGCCGAGCTCAAGCATGTGTTCGAACTCTTCCTTGGCAATCTTCAAACGGTCCGGAGCAAGACGGCGTGGTCGGCAAGATTTGGGAGGCCCGGTGGTGGAAATATGGTGGGTGACTGTGTGTTTGATGTCCACTTCACGAAATGAGGGGTTGGTTAGGCGGGGAAACTGCCTGAGGAGTGAGTGGAAAGGACAGTCAGAGATGGGCATAACAGTGAGAGGGTTTACGCAGGGGTTCACATCAGATTGACAGCGGGCATGAAGGCTGGTAATGGAGTCGACGAGTCGGCGATTCCTCAAATCAACTAGCAGATTGAAGTGAGCTAGGAAATCGGCGCCTATGAGGGCGACGGAAACGTCGGCAATAATGAAAACCCATCGGAAAATCCGACGAAGGCCCAAATCGAGTGTGATGGAGCGCTGTCCAAAAGTGGGGATTCTGGAGTTGTTGGCAGCTGTAAGACAAAAAGAGCTGCGGTGTTTGCGTTCGGCCGGAGTTGGTGAAACCACGCTAACCTCGGCACCAGAGTCGACAAGGAATTTGGTGCCAGCGATACGGTCCCAGAGAAACAAACGGCGAGTGTGGAGATTGGCAACGCTTCCAGCAGCAGTGGACTCTACTGTCGGGTGGGATCGTCTCCCTGAGGCCGTTAGAGATGTCTTGAAAGAGCATGGCTGAAGACATCGTCGAGCTGCTCCCTCAAATTGTTGGTGATACCAGCAGACGCTACTTGGAGATTGTGGACGGCGGGTGTGGGAAACGGAGGAAGTACGGCGACGATTTGGTGTTCGCCGCGGGCCGTTAGTGGTAACTGCAGTAAGCTGGGCTTTCAGGCGCATTAATACCTCCTCGAGCCGATCCAAGCGTATGCTAGCTCCTTGAGAATTTGGGTTGATGAGTGACTTCTGGTCTTGTGACATCGCGCTCTAGGTTGCCCGAAGATTGTTGTTGTGGACGAAAAGTTTGCGGAATTCCAGTGTTCGGAAATTAGGGGTCACCAATTTGTGGCGGTCAAGGATGTGAGATCAACTTAAACCACGCACAATAAGTTCGTTTCGTCTACTGTCAGAAGTCAGGGAGCTGCGAGGACTAGTTTATTCTGTACACAGGGCAGGTTGCCGTAAGTTGGCGGTTTGCTTGCAACAGAGAAAAGCGTCCGTACACGGAGAGCGTCAGTCACGGTGTGTTGTTTACGCGGGTGTGAGTGTCTAGGTCAGCAGGAGGGGGTGACTGGCTGAGTGTTGGTTGTGTGATTGGACAAATTAGGGAAGGAATGGAGGGCGCATACTCACGAGGCCTCACGGGAATCAAGCCAGAGCGTTCGACGCGCGTTAGGTGATACTAGTTTGTGAGGGCAGCCGGGAGTCACTGCAGCTGGACAGGAGGGGCCCCAGTTCTAGCCGGTGTGGGTGGTCGTGTGTCAGCGGCCTGTCAGTGCTTGTCACGGCCATCGACCGACAAAACGGAGCCGGAGAAAAGGGGTTTCTCCCCTATCCTAAGGACATTAACAGCGACCAACAGGTGCTTCGATCTAGCTTTTATATTTCATCCTATTATATTGTATAAACAAGGCATTCTTCAAGGGTATAGGCAAACTTTCCTAAGCTACGGTGAGCCGCTTAGCATTCCCAAGGCCTATAGAGTATGCAATGCTCAGTGTCGTTTGGTTTAGATTCCTTGCCAAGACCCTTATAAATGATTTCGGTAAACAAGCCGTAAGCGCAGCCCCTACCACAAAGTCAATTTTACAGAATTGACATGTCAAGGTTTGTTTCTGACCAAGTTACGAACCACATGGAAGAACGAAAGAGTGACAACTACCAGCGGAAATAAAATAGCAAAGAAGCGGCGCTGAAATAAATCTTAAAATAGGAGGTGGGCGCAGAATTTAAGTCAAGAGAGTGTTTCCTAGGCCGAGGGCAGTCATAATGAAGGTCTAATTAATATAAAGATGCGAATTTGACGGCTACAACCATCATTATGTGCTGTTGTCTAGAAATCGATTACATTAACTGTCCAAGTCTCTTTAGCAATCTAGATGAGCTCAGATTAATAGCGTTTACGCAGAACTCACATACACTTAAATTGACAGACACCAGGATGACTGATGAAATAAGGAGCAGTGAAGTCAGTACTGGAAAGTGCCAAGTACTCCATTATGACAGACTTCAACGTGGAAACATAGGAAAAAACGATATATCTGAGGGAATCTCCTCAAACCTCTTCGTGAAAGATACGAATCAGGCGATTGTAAACTCTTGATTTTATGATCTTGATATTGTCTTCCCCGTTCGAATGAAAATTCATTTGCGGAACTACAGTAGATGTGCTAACTCATGAAATGTCAACCAAAATTTCAAAATGCGGTCTCGTTTCAAAAAGACATATTAAGTAGTGTTGTAAAACTAATCATGATGCAGCATAAATCTATAATGATCCAGTTACCTCAGGGCGTCGGCTTTCAAAAGGACTTACTTTCGGCTGCATGCAAGATCGACACTCTGCAAAAAATGACTTCTTATGTAGTGTGCAATTTTCTCATTGATTTTCGATGCCCTTGAAAATTCACTTATATTTTATGGAAAACATGCACAAAAATATTCATTCTTTTACTTATTCGGTAGAAAATCACGTCTTCTTCCAATTTCATACTCAAAAGAAGAGTATAATTCGGTTTTAAAAAACTTTTTTACTCCCGAATAATTTTGAACCCGACCTGCTGTTAGACTTGCATTCAGGGTTTCAAAACTACGAGCTGTATATTTTCCGTGTACGGAAAACCATGCATTTCTCTGCGATGTTAAGAGGAGACCATATGAGGTTCATAAAATTAAGCAGTGGATTTGAGCAATATTGTTAACTTTACAAGCCACATTCGTAAATGCAGATACATGACGTTTCATGAACGGCCATTTAACGGTATTAAAAAATCTCACAATTAGAAACTTTTTTTAAAAACGGAATTATACTCTTCTTTTGAGCATGAAATTAGAAGAAGACGTGATTTTCTACCGAATAAGTAAAAGAATGAATATTTTTATGCATATTTTCCATGAAATATAATTGCATTTTCAAGGGCATCGAAAGTCAGTGAGAAAATTGCACATTACTTAAGTAGCCATTTTTGCAGAGTATAGATCTTGCATGCAGCAAAAAATAAGTTCTTTCGAATGCGACACCCTGAGGCAACTGGGCCATTATAGGTTTATGCTGCATCATGATTAGTTTTACAACAGTACTTAATTTATCTTTTCGAGATGAGAACGCATTTCGAAATTTTGGTTGACATTTCATGAGTTAGCATGTCTACTGTAGTACCTTCATTAAAACTCGTATGCCCACTGGATAATGCACCACTGTCAGTGAACTTAATCCTCGCATAATATACAGGAAGCATTCCATACTAAACGCCCAAACACCATCATTCGACCAAAATTGAGGCCAGTTTTACGTGCATTGATAGAGTTCGGACCGAAGACGACTGAACGACAACGATCCAGCTGCTGTGGTCTTGTTTTCAGTAAAGAAGAGGGAATCATGCGGAGAATAAACTCTTAGCACCACTTGGTTTTAGTGATCATATCGCACTCGCCTGCGTGTGATCTCTCGTGTCCTCTCCACAGACACAAATCTTGAGACAAAACGGATTCCGAAAGGCCATTTAAACATATAGCGACGTGAAGCTTCAGTCAACTGGCAACACCGATTTCGAAGATTGCTGGCAGCTTCTTCAGTTTGTCATAGGGTGTCTAAATGATGCCCATTGTCCATAAAAATAATAAGAACTCAGTTGGTCGATGCGGCAATGAAAACGCCATTAAAACAAAACAGACGTTCTGGGAAAAGAACGCACATCTCCAAGATCCAACATCGCTTCCCAGATATAAGAAGGGGCTCAGTGGATATCCTAAGCAAATACTAATTACAGAACTTCTCTCGAGCGACGACTGACAGCGCCGAACGTTGTATGCCACCAATGGACTTTCGCGCATACATTCGCAGTAGAAGAAAACACAGCAACGAGATTGCAGGCTTCGAAGATAACATCAGAGACATATCATCTCAAGAATCATAGAGAATACAACTACTATTCCATTTTATTCAAACGGGGTATACGACGAACTGTCGCGAGGACTGGGTGAGAGTTACTAGTGTTCTTTTTCGAAGCTCTTTTTTCTTTATATTAATGACAACCTTCAGGAATCTGATAGCAGTAGGATCATGTTTACAGAGGACGTCAAGCTCTACGAGGTTAGATGGACAGGATACCAACAAAACCCTTCAGAAAATCTGCGCAGTCTGCAGACGTGGTCCTAGCGACGGCTTCTGATTTTCAGTACGTGAAAGTGTGAAGTCCCCATCCGTGTTCAACAAACTGCCATCCGAAAGTCAACATAAGGCATGTTATTCGAAGATCGCCCATGTTTCGATAGAGTACCCTCTAAAGTAGCTTGAATAAAAATAAATCTTGAAGAAGACACGATCGCTGCGATAAGAGCTTTATTGACCTGACGTTTAGGATTCCTGCCGAACACATCATCAGAGGCAAAAGCAGATACCGGTGGTTCATGCATAAGAAACTGCAGTGTTTATAGGATGCAGTAGCCATGCTATCGCATACCTATGAATATTTACGGTTCCCCCTTCATCCGGGATCGTTGCACATGGTATGATGGCCGATATTCGCATCGTTATTTGCTGCAATTTCATCGCGTGCGTTGGATGTCGGTGTGGTGGTTGGTCGACCATCTGACGCACCGACCCTGGCGTTGGGAAAAGCGTTCACCTGTGCGTTCCGCGCGTGACCATTTACTCCGCGTAGGCGAAGTCTCGGCATCAAGTATCGAATAGGGAAATCATTGCACTTGTTAATGCACTGGGAGCCAGTTACCAATGATTCAAGCAGCTTCCGGTTCACGCGGTTGTCACCTCTTGCGAGAATTTTGGCCTCGTCAAATTTGAATATGTGGTCGGATCTCGTTGAATGAGCCGCAACTTGAGAACTAGCGTCATTTTTCCCTCCGCTGCAGCGTGTAAGGCCATTCGCGTTCGGAGCTGTCTTCTGGTTTCTCCAACGTAGTTGCTTTGTCCGCAACCTCACTAGACCCGATAAACGACTGCAGACGTTTCTTTCGTGGCAGTGGGTATTTCGGTTTCATTAATTGATGCCTGATGATTGCCTGCGGTCTGTGTGCAACTTCAATCCCAAGTGATGCGAGAAGGCGACCGACAGCTTCCGAAAGGTTGCGGAAGCGCTCGGCAAAATGTGGTGTCCATGCAGTTAGGCCTTGTGTGGTGAGGTACCGGACTGATTTACCTTTGACAATTTAGTCCCATTTTCTTTGACCGGGTTGCTTGTTTGAATGTGACGAAAAACGACACACCTGTACTGCCCGCCTTGCTAGCGTGCTCCGCTGTCGTGCTCTATTGTCAGGTTTCTTAACGTTCAAAATCTCTGTATTATTCACTACTCAGTTTTACTTGCTGCCTTTAAGACTAGGGGCTCGTGAGAGATAACTCGTTAGTTCGTGAGAACATTACTATTTACGTCATTGGAGACCCCGACATTAACGCAGACTTTACACCTTTCTATGTCATACTGAATAACATTTAACGTACTACTTGTTTATGAATTTCTATTTCATTTTCATTTACTTTCCTCACGAATTCTGATTTTTTACCATCGCTGTCTTATTATGTCTCCCTCTAACCAACCACTTGATGCCCCGCCCAGTCCCTTCATGCCATCCGTTTTACGTCGCCTGAATTCTGGCAACACGCTCCAAAACTTTATTTCCTCCGCATCGAATCAGTCTTTTTTTCTGATAACGTTACCAAGGAGCTGGCGAAATACCACGAATGTGTGGAGGTTCTCCCCGCTAGTGTTATCTTTCAAGTTCAGTCCTTGCTAGCTAATCCTCCTGCTGATGCTCCCTATACCATGTTAAAGGCAGAAATTCTTCGACCTAATTCCGTGTCCGACCGACAGCGGTATCACCAGTTACTTAAGAAGGAGTCGCTGGATGACCGGAAGCCCTCAGAGCTACGTCGAATGCGTTCTCTCCCTGGACATGCAATTTGACGATAAATTCGTCAATGAGATGTTCCTAGAGCGTCTGCTCGCAAATGTCCAAACGATCCTGACGTCCGGCTCTCAAGATTTTACGGTCTCACGGATGGCGGATCGAATGACTGAGGTGAAGCGGTTCCAGTCAGCTTCCGTTGCCCAAATCTCATCCTCATCGTCAGCTAATGAACATTCAAGGAAACAGGTGTCGGCCATGGCGGATGAGATGGGCTCCCTTAAAATATAGTTCGCCCACCTTACTTCCAGTCGCTCACGCAGCCGTCGTCGTTCTCGTTTGCGACCTCAGACTGCCGATGCTTGTTGTTATCACACTAATTTCGGCGTAACGGCCCGTTGCTGTTCCTCATCCTGCTCTTTTAAGCCGAAGCAGGGAAACCAGGCAGCCGGAGAATAGATGCGACCGTTTTCTCTGGCTCTTCCGGCTCTGGTCACATCTTCAATGTTTGCGACACTGCGACTCGCAGACGTTTCCTGGTGGACACTGAAGCCCAAATCAGCGTTGTTCATCCAACTGCCGTTGATTGTCGTTTCCCTAGCCCTGGTCTTCACCTGCAAGCTGCCGACTGTTACCCCATTCCCACTTTTGGCAGTCTGTCCCTCACTCTGAACATTGGCCTTCGTCGCTCATTCACTTGGATCTTTGTCATTGCTGATGTCCCTCATGCAATCTTCGGCTCGGACCTTCATGCCGAGTTCGATCTCCTTGTTGACTGCCGATGTGCCCGTCTCCTCGACAGCACAACCGGTCTGTTTGTTCGTGGACTAACTCCCTTTATTGTCCCCATCAACTTATCTGTCTTGGATACGGATATTGCTAGCCCCTATCAGCAACTACTTCTTAGTCAACCCAACATAATTAACCCCCCAGTTTTTCAGTGGTGAGGTTCAGCATGATGTTGTGCACCACATCTGCACCTCAGGTCCTACCGTGTTTGCTCGACTGGGACGACTAGCACCGGAGCGTTTCCAGGCCGCGAAGGCGGAGTTTGAACACATGCTGCAACTGGGAATAATTCGACCGTCCGAGAGCCCTTGGGCGTGCCCACTGCACATGGTGCTCAAGGCGATGTCAGGCGACTGACGACCCTGTGACGACTATCGAGCCCTCAACAGCGCTACGATTCTTGATCGATACCCCGTGCCTCATCATCATAACATTGTTGCACCTCTTTTCGGCAAAGCGGTTTTTAGATAGATAGATAGATAGATAACTTTTATTAAAGACCCGTTGGGGTCCCATCAAAGCAAGTTAAAATAAATTTACATGCGAGTTTTAGACGAGGTAGGCAGAATCTTAACAAAATGCAATTCATCGTTTCTGAATTAGTAGTCCACTGAGAAATATGATTAGTGCGGGGTGAAAAAAAACTCCAAACAAAAAGTTAAAAATGATTGGATTAATGTTACAGGAGGAGAAAAAAACCCTCAATAAAAATAATTACAGAAAAATGCGAGCAGGACTGGCCTGTAGGCGGCGGTATGTATCGGATTGTTTTCGGTCATCGTCAGGGTAGCAGTAAATCTCAGCCTTGAGGGGTGCGTATGCTAGTCAGACAGGACTGGCCTGCATGTGGTATTGTATACAGGATTCACAATTGACATAATCTGAGCCGGATTGATACGCCGCATGAGACTCTTCGCGTCAAAGAGGCCAGACGAGAGGAACCCAGATGAGATCGGCCACAGCACGCTTTGAGCTCAGCCGAGCAGTGGGGAAGGGAGGTACAACCAAACTACTAGTAGACGGTGAATACTGAGGGTTCCGCCGTGAGCGTCGACATTCCGCTGTGAGCGTTCTCTCGAAGATTGATCTGGTGCGCGTTTTTAATCAGATTCCAGTTGGCCCTGATGACATTCCCAAAACCGCCGTCACCACATCCTTCGGTCTCCTCGAGTTCATCCGCATGTCGTTCGGTCTTCGTAATGCCGTCCAAACGTTCCAGAGGTTCATCGACCATGTCTTACGTGGCCTACCCTTTGTGTACACCTACATCGATGACCTCTTGGTGGCCAGCCGGCATGAGGAAGAACACAAAGAGCATCTTGCCTTGATGTTTGACCTCCTTGACAAGTTTGGCGTTGTCATCAGCCCCTCCAAGTGCGTGTTGGGTGTGCCTTCGCTCGAGTTCCTCGGCCATCATGTCGACTCTGAAGGTTTGCGTCCCCTCACCTCCAAGGTTGAAACAATTCGTAATTTCCCTCCACCAACTTCCAAGCGACAGTTGCAGCGATTCCTCGGCATGGTCAATTTTAACCGCCTGTTCCTACCGAACTGTGCTGGCCGCATGTTGCCATCCACCAACATACTTTCTGGTCCCACAGATCCCCTCGAGCTAACTGGTGAAGCACTGACTGCTTTTGAGATAATCAAAACTTCCCTTGAAGACGTTACTTTACTCACGCATCCCGCTCCCGAAGCTCAGCTGCCCCTGATGGCAGATTCTTCGACCGTAGCCGTAGGTGCAGTCCTTCAACAACACCTTGCTGGTTCGACTCAACCACTTGTCTTTTCCTCCAAAAAGCTCTTACCAGCTGAGACACGCTACAGTACCTTTGGCCGTGAACTACTTTCCATTTACCTGGCTGTGAAGCATTTCCGGTATTTCCTTGAAGGTTGGAACTTCATTGTTTTCACGGACCAAAAACCGTTGACTTTTGCCCTTCGGTCCCACTCTGACGAGTACAATCCGAGGGAAATTGCTCACCTGGACCACATCTCCCCATTTACCACCGACATCCGCCACATTGATGGCACGAAGAATGGAGTGACTGATATGCTGTCCAGACCCTCACCGTCTTCCCTCCAACTCTCACACGGGATCGATCTTTGCGCCATGGCAGCTGAGCAACAGCGAGTCGGTTGTCTTGGCGACGAGTCTGTTAGCGGTCTCCAACTCGAAGACGTCCCTCTGACCACCGGCTCTGATACCATACTTTGTGACGTCACAGCTCCATTTCATCGCCCTTTCGTGCCCGCTTGATGCGTCGAGATGTATTTCAAACTCTGCATGGGCTCTCCCACCCTGGGATCCGAGCCTCTTAAAAGCGCCTTGCGGAAACGTTTGTCTGGCCTGGCATGAGCAAGGATTTCAAAGCTCGGGCCCGGTCGAATCTGAGCTGTCAGCGCAGCAAGGTGCAGCGTCACAACAAGTCCCCACCAGGCTCTTCCCCCAGTCCCGACGCACGGTTCATCCATGTGCACTTGCATGTCGTAGGCCTTTTCCCTCCATCCAATGGTTTCACCCACCTCCTTACCTGTGTCAATCAACATACCCGCTGGGTTTAAGCCATTCATTTACCGAATGCGCGGGCTGAAACCATTGTGAAGGCCTTCGTCAGTCGTTGGGTCGCAAATTTTGATGGCCCATCCACGGTTACGACTGATCGTGTTGCGCATTGTGAGTCGGAACGCTTTCAAGCACTACTCAATTTCCTTGATTGCCCAAGCATTCAGACGACAGCCTAGCACCCAGCTGCCAACAGTATGGTTGGGCGTTTCCATCGCCAGCTAAAGACTGCCCTGCGTGCCGTAGACTACCCAGGAAACTGGTCGGACTACCTTTCTCTTGCAATCCTCGGCATCCGCACAGCTTTGAAGTCAGTTCTGGGCTGTAGCTCAGCTGAATTGCTTTTCGGCACTACCCTCCGACTGCCAGGCGAGATGATCACCCCAAGCTCTCGTATGGCCGACGAGACTACTGACAACCTTGCGCACCGTTTGCGGCAATTTTTGCGCTCGCTTTCCCCGGTTCCACCTCGAACCCCAATAACTGAGTCTTATGTCGAAAAAGACTTGGGCAACTGTGCTCACGCGTTCGTCCGGTGTAATCGTGTGCGCTATCCGCTGGACTCACCATACGAAGGACTGTTCCGCGTACTCCCTCTCAACGCCAAGACCTGCCGGATTCTTCGCGGTGACAAGGAGGACGTGGTCAGTGTCTATCGGGTCAAGGCTACTGTCGCAGAGGAGCCGCCGGACCTGTCACAAGGACAAAAATTTGTTGACCCTCTAACCCTGTTCCTCCGTCTTCCCTATCCCCCGCTCATTCACCCTGCCCACTGCCTCTCCCTTCCCCTCCTTTGTCCTCTTCCCTTCCATCCCGCATACTTCCTCTCCCTTTATGTCTACAGCATCCAACTAGATTAGAAAAGAATAGGTTTATTATAGCGCCCCTTGGGAACTGTCAGTTTCCCTTGAACACAGGAAAAAACCTAAAACAAAGTCATTCATTTGGATTTCACTTTGACCTTATTTGTTTTGAGTGTCTGTTTAGCCAATAGAGCGCGAATTGATAGTTTGTTTTAAGTTTAAAAAACTGATTTCCGAGAAGAAAAAAAATTAAAAGTTTTAAGAACGATTTGTATCATATAAAAATTGATGTTTGCTGTTTGGTAGTTTTTTGTATTGGAAATATAATTACAATCCAGTACATATATGAAGGATAGGCATAGTCCCCAGGGCAATTTCTACGGACCTACAGTTGAATTCAAAAGCGTAAATGGATAACAATCGCAGGGCACTATATCTGTCATTCATGTTGAGAATGCATATGTTACTCAAGTGGCAGGCCGTCAAGTTACCTTCACAATGTCTTCACGATCTCCAACAAAACAACAAGGTTCAGTCGAATGTTCGTTGTTCAAGAGTCTGGTGATAAAATGCGCAATCCCAAACATCAGTCTCGGCAGAATTCGTCTTCAGTTCGTCTGAGTGACCTCGATGGTGTTTCGTTCGTCCCAGTTAAAAAAATTCGTTAAATGAAGAATAAAATGTACAAATTTAGTCGTAGACTTTCACAACACCGACGTAAGCATGGCGAAATCGGCGATTTTTGCATGGCCATTTCAGGATCGATTGTTCAAGGAAATTGTAACCATACAAAACTTCCGCAGTCTGCAGGATAACGTACGTCATCTTACCTAAAGTTTAAAATCACATGTTCTCTAGGAAAATTTCGGTGGTTCATTTTTAGCACATGACAAAAAAGTAAAATGATAAATTTGGTCGATCGTATCAGTTTTCGCCTTGCGCTTAGACCTTCGTGTCTTTTTGACAAAGTTTGCGACATTTGTTTGACTTCTGGTGATGTTGGGAGTGCCCACACTCCCATAAACAAGGGTCAACCACTCACTGGAGACCACGTGCGTTTGTTCTCTCTATAGCGCTGTCATCTTAATCGTGGCGCCTCATCATTGGCTGCTCTCCTCTTCCCGAAGGGCATTGGGCCGAATGCCACGAACTACAATAGGATGCATACATAATCGTCACCTTTCAACTAGTCGTGACGCGCGATCATTCAAATACACTTCCTGTGGCCGGTCGTGCTTCCTTTGTCTGCCGCCTTGGTATTGGGGGCAAGGCTCTAGTAGGTATACGCTCCACGGGCTGTTAAGTACCAGGCCGGATCATAACAGTTCATCGCACAGGAGTTTTCCAGATGCCTGTTCAGTTCACTTAATTGAGGAAAACAAGCGTAAGCACTCAAATAAATAAATAAAAAATAAATAAAATAAAATTTTTAATTTAATGCCAGTTTACAGGCATTGGCAAGGAAAGCGATTAAACACAAATCCAACAAGCAGTGAAAAAAAACTCCTAAGCTTAAGGCATAAAAATATAGTTGATGGTGGTTTTTGTGGTTTGGAGGGCTCAGGAGAAAAAAACTGTCGGCGGTGATAGAATATCGACCGTCAAGAAGGGGGGAGGTTGCACGGTATCGGAGATTATCGGACGTCAAATTCCTTTCATGAAGTTGGGGATAGTCAAAGTAGAGGCGTTGAGGAACAGCTGGTGAGACGCAATCGCTACGGTACAGTCGATCAGTAGATTCAGCACCCAAAATTTGTGGGAGCTTTTCTGAATGCAAAAATCGAATAATAGTTCTCTTAAATAAAGGAAACTTTTGCAGAGTTTTCACACTCATGGGTAGTTTATTCCAAATAGCAATTGCATTTACAGAAAAGAACCGACGATATTTAACAGTACGTGCCAGAGGCAGAAATAAGAAGACCTCACGGTGACTGCTACGTCGTGGGTGGATATGATGTCTTAAAGAGGTGAGCGGGTTAAATGTGTGATTATATAAGAGTTTAAATAGCAAAAATAGTCGCTTTTGTAATCTACGGAACCATAAAGGATCGAGGCCTGTAAGCCGGCAACGTTCTTGGTAAGACAAATGTCGGTGTTCCGGGGTTAAAATTCTCTTGGTAAAAAAGTGTTGAACGGATTCTATTTTCTTCCGCTCAGAAGCACGCATGAGGCTAAATGAAAACGAACAGTATTCCAGACCAGGTCTAACGTACACGTTGAAAAGGCGCATTCTAATGTCCCTAGTTTTAAAATTTCGGAGGATAAACCCGGTCGTTCTACGTGCTTTGGAGACTATCAAGGCACAGTGCTCTGAGAGATTGAGACTCTTGGAGTATGATACGCCCAAATCCTTTATAACCCCTGGCATATTTATTGCGTGACCTTCAATACTTAGTTGAGGTTGGCGGTCGTCGCCAACCACCATGACTGAGCACTTATGCCAAGAAAGAGAAAGGTGCCATGCGCGGCACCACTGGGCGAAAGCCTGTAGATCGCTCTTTAGGAGCTCAAGCACGATGTCATGATCTGCCGACTTATATCGATATGCAACTTTAAGATCATCGGCATACATGAAAGGCTTACCATCCGGAAATAAATCGGGTACATCATTAACGAAAAGGCAAAATAAAAGCGGGCCAAGTACACTACCCTGAATGACTCCACTCCTCACACGTGTGGAGTTGGAGATGGTATTGGAAATCTTAACTCGTTGTGTGCGAGTGCCCAAATAAGAGGATATAAAATTCAAAAGTTTGCCACCTATTCCGAAAGAGGACAATTTCAAGATGAGAAGAGCATGGTCAGCACGGTCAAAAGCCTTAGTGAAATCGAAATATACTGTGTAAAGAGCAAAACCATGGTCCCTAGATTGGAGAACATAGTCAAAGAAAGAGAGTTGACAGGTGTCACAAGATCGAGCTTTGAGGAATCCATGCTGAGCAACACTCAGTAAGTTGTTCGCTGTTAAGTGACACATCATCTTATCCTTGATCAATGTCTCTAAGATCTTCGAAACTGCAGGGAGGGTGTTTATTGGCCGAAAGTCATCAAATGATGTAGATTTGTCGTGCTTAGGAATGGGCAAAATGTGTGATTCCTTCCACAAGGTAGGATAAGTTTCACTTTCAAGAGCAAGATTAAATATCTTGCATAAGAGGGATGGGAAGATCGTGTTTGCATCGGCTTTTAAAATGCTTACTGGGACACCATCAGGGCCTGGACTATAAGATTGACGAAAACGCCGAGTTGATCGGAAATCGCGGAAAATTTATACTTTTGGGACGACATTTCGTCAGCCTCGAATTCCAACGTTGAAACAACTATGTCATGGTCTGAGCCCCCGAGTGGGCCTAGGGATGACACTGACGATGGCAAGCAGCCTCTACAGAAAATTAAGTCAAGTATACTTGAGCCTCGGGTGGGAAAATCAACAACCTGAGTCCACATCCCGACATCCACAGCCTCAAGAAAGTTATCGAACCTTCTGGGGCCTGAAGGCGGAGACCAGCGGACTTCAGGGAGATTAAAGTCACCCGCAACCAGTTGATACTTAAAACTTAAATCGGCCGCAGCATGAAATGCCTGTGAGAGTAAGCGATCAAAATTGTCATTGGCGTTGGGAGGGCGATAGACGCAGCCAACGAGAAAGGAGAACTTATTTTTTAGTGCGACCTGGAGCCAGCAGCTGCCTTCTACCGCTGAAAAGTGCGGGAGGTCCAACGGCAAACATGCAAGTGTTTGCTTAACGTGGACGCAGCTGCTCCCACCATGGCTATCTTGACGATCATTTCAAATGCAATTGTAGCCTAGAAGAGAGAGTTCGGAGTCAGCTACTGAGGCTGATGCCCACGTCTCAGTTACTAAAACAATATCAGGACAGTGGACTAAAACCTGAGTCTGAAGCAAAGGCATCTTATTAAGCAAGGATCTGGCATTTAAAACAAAAAGGTTAAAGGGAAAGGCTGTTAGTTTTTGAGGGAGGTGGGCTACATCGTCCAGTTCTGAGTCGCCCACGGAGCAAACGGTCCGGATGCAACCATCCGGTTCTGCAAAAAATTTTGTGGCATCAACAAATTCTGACGTCGATAAAAAAGGGGAAAACTTGGAAGAGGGAATGCTGGGCAGGTAAACTGGTAACTATTGTTAGCTAACTTATTTTCAGCTGGAAATCCGCGGGGCAGATACTGCAACGTAAACATTTGTGGTGTACAAAAGAAGTTTCTAGGTTGAAATAGTTCAACTTAGTCCATAACTGTTGAACAAAATGGGAGATAGTTACAGGGGTGAGCTCGACTTTTCATCGCTATTGGTCATTTCGGAACATAAAAAGGTTGAGGTTCTTCAAAAAGCTTTGTAAGGATAGTGACATCACAAAGTCTGCAGGGAGCATTACATGGTTAGACCCCTCGGACAGAGAAGGAGAACTTCCGCACATCCAGTCTTGCCTGCTGAATGCGCAGTTTTAACGGATGACCTCAGAGTTTGGTCGTGGTAGCAAATTCAAAAATGTCCTCGAAGGCCAGACTGCAATCCAACCCCTTGACAATGCGGAAGGATGGCAAGAGATCCCCGCGCAGTTGCCTGTAACTCAAAGGAAAGAGGTTTAGATTTACTAGGCGGGTTACATTAGGAAAGGAGCTTTGATCCCCAACCATCTTTGTGGCTCTCCTCTGAACTCTTTCGAGGCAGTTTTGATCCTCAACCGCCCACGGCCTCCTGGTTTGTATGCCGTACTCTAAATGCGACCGGACGAATGTTCCGAATGTCTTTGAGAAAGCATCTTAGTCAAAATCCATGAACACACGCTGGATGCCGTACAGTACTGACGTTGCCCTTTTGCCAATCTCGAACAATGAGCGGAGGGAACTCATCGCCAGCAGACCGAGGCCGTTTTGGACTTCGACATCTCGTAATGATGCATCGTCCAGAAAATAGTTTTTTGTGCTGGCGGGTCTGACTGTTTTGCCTAGACGAAGTTTACTACATTTACCAACGTTGAACAACAGGAGCCAACGGTTTGGCCACTCATCCAACCGATTTAGGTTCATCTACAGTCTGTCTTCGTCGGCAGGACCACGTATTACAATTTATATCTTCATTTCATCGGCAAACATTGCTGCTTCACAGTCAAAAGCACTTGCGGAATCGTGCACGTATATGAGGAACAAAATAGGTACCAGTACTGAACCCTGGGGAACACCACCCTCGACCACAGCAGGATCTAATTTCGCTTTAACGATGCACGCAACCTAGTGTTGACCCACAAAGAAGTTTTCGATCCACTTGAGGAAGTTACGCTGGTCCCAATTTTTATTTTAAGTAACAGCCTATGGTGTGGCTCAGGGTCGAACGCCTTCTGGGAGTCAATGAAAGCTATGTGGACAGCGTGCTTGACGTCGGCAGCTCGAGTCCAGCCCTGGAGAGATTGCGATAAGTTTTTCGTGCGGGATCTTCCCTTCCGGAATCCATGTTGGCATATCGATAGCAGGCCGTGTGCTTCCAGGAAATGCATCAGTTCAGACTTAATGATCCTTTTCATAACTTTAATTCAGTATATATAAGGGATAGAGGCAGAGCCTTGGAAAAACCTATTGATAGGTAGACGTATGAAAGAAACATGCAGATATTTACATAGCAGTTATGCCAGTCATTGATATCATGTAAATGTTTGATCATCAAGCATAAGTTTATCTAGTCTTCTTTTGAAAGTCTCGACATTTTCCGCTAAGACAACGGAGTTCGGCAATTTGTTCCATCCCTCAACCAGCTGGTGAGAGAAGAATTTGGCCCGCAAATCGAGTCTGGCATGTTTCGTCTTCAATTTGTATGGGTGCCCTCGGAGATTTGTCGTCCGCGCCAGTTCGAAGAAGTCGTCAAACTGAAGAGCACAGTCTAGCCTTCGGACGATTCTGAAGGCCATGATCATGTCCTCTCTGTACTGTTTATAAGAGAGAGGAAATATTTTTAGCTTCTCCAGCCGCCTGTCATAAGGTAAGCCACATAATCCGCCGACTAGCCTGGTCGCTCTACGTCGTACGTTCTCAAGTAGGGTGTAATCTTTTTTCGTCCAGGGACACCATGCCTGGACACAATATTTCAACATTGGTCGAACGTATGCGCCAAATACTCGGCCGAAAAGTTCTTCATCAAAATTGACGAACGATCTTCTAATCGCGCCTAGAATACCCATAGCTTTCTTTGATACCTTGGCGCAGTGAGACGATGGTTTGAGAGTTAACGTCATCCACACACCGAGGTCTCTTAACTCGTTGACTGATTCGAGTTAGTGACCTCCTATAAAGTACTGAGATTCAAATCTCTACGGCTTCCTGTTGCTCGAACGTAATCGGATAATTTGGCATTTGTTACGATTGAGGTTAAGACACCACTCATCACACCATTTTTGCAAGCGATTTAAATTGTCTTGTAATTGTACAGAATCTTCCGGCTTCTCTATTGATTGTCACAATTTGAGATCTCGGCAAACATTACTCGCTCGCAGTTCAGACAGTCCAGGCAGTCATTCACATATATTAGGAATAGAATTGGAACCAGAACGCTTCCCTGCGGAACGCCACTGTGCACGGATGCCCATTCCGATTTAGCGTTTCCGATACATACACGCTGAGATCTGCCGGTAAGAAAATTGGCTAGCCGTTTCAAAAGATTTCCATTCACACCCACTTGACGTAGTTTACATATAAGCCGTCTGTGTGGAACACTGTCAAAAGCCTTTTTGAAGTCAATGTACACGGCGTCGACTGATAAGCCCATGTCAATTGATTTCGTCCAGCTCTCCATGGATACTAGGAGGTTGGTGAGACATGATCGACCGCTTCGAAATCCATGCTGATGTAGACTGAGCAAGTTGTTTTCTTCGAGGTGCCGCATCAGCTCCGTTTTTATTACTCTTTCCATCAACTTGCAACAGATGCTTGTGAGACTCACTGGTCTGAAACGATATGGGGCTGTTCTCTCGCCACCTTTATAAATGGGGCTTATATTTGCTTTCTTCCAGTCGGTAGGCAAAGCCCCGGTCTCCATCGAAATTTTGAAGATTTTGGATAACGGAGAGGCCAGTTGGTCTGAGAGTTCATTCAGAACTTTCGCGAACACGCCGTCCGGCCCAGGGGATTTAGTGGGCTGTAGTTGCCTCAAAGTTTTCCTTACGGTGTCGGTTATGAAGTCCACCGTGCTAAGTGTACTCTTTGATTTGACAATTGGGGGGTAAAGACTTTTATCAAAAGCCAGTTCCTCAGTATACACAGACGTGAAGAAGTCGGATGACAGATTCGCCTTATCTGAGTTGTCAGACAACGTATTTCCCTGGCTATCTTTTAGGCAGGGAATGCAGTCCAAGTTGCGTTTTGCTTTATTCACGTATCCAAAGAATTTTTTGAATTTTACGGGCTATTTTTTAATAGTTTTGACTCAACTTCTGCCCGTTGCCTCCTCAACAGATTCCGACATACATTCCTCTGTTTTTTGAAGTCAGCGAAGTGCTCTGGTTGCTGACAACTGGCGTACTTTTTCCAAAGTCTCTTTTTCAATTTAAAGTTCTTCTTTATTTCTGACGTCACCCACTCTGGTCGGGATGTGCGCGGCTTCCTCTTCAGTGGGCAACAGCTCTCTACCAAGTGCTGCATTATGTTCTTGAAGAAGAACCAGTCGCTTTCTGGGTCAGGTCCTTGTGCTGTATTCCAGTTCACCTTCTGTAGCAGGTTTTTCATTCGGGTATAATCCCCTTTCCATACGTTTCTTTCCTCAGCAGCTCGAATTTCGGGTACCGAAAAATGACTATACTCCGAAACCAGAACGCAGTGGTCACTTCGGCCAAAGGGCGGGTGCGATTCCAATCCGAGAATGCAACTATCATCCCTGGTAATGATGAATTCCAAACAACTGGACTGCTGTCCATCCCTGAATCGAGTGTTCACTTTAACATGTTGGGTAAGGAACTCAGTTGTGATCAGTTGCATAAATTTCTGTTCGAATGAGTTTTCTGATCGCGTACAATACATCAAATCCCACTCTATATCTGGACAGTTGAAGTCACCAAGTAGCATTATGTGTTTGCTTCGACAAATTTCTCTTATCTCGGTGATAAGTACATCGTCCGCATCCGTTCGCTGGCTTGGCAGCCTGTAAACCAGGGCCATATGGAGGCTTCGATGGTTTGGCACCTTCAAGTAACAACTGAGTATTTCACAATCAATGCGCCGAAATGGGGAAGACTCAACCCTGACGTAGTCGATGCCATCTCGTATAAATATCGCAATCCCTCCACCCCTTCGTTCGTTTCTGTCCATTCGGAGAATCTGGAAGCCATCTAGCATAACTTCCGCATCCTCTATCTGCGCATTTACCCATGTTTCTGTTAAAGCTATCAAGTCAGGTTGGAAATGCAAAGAATATATGTCAAGCTTATGGGCCTGTAATTGGTCGTCGATGTCCTGCTACCTCTTTTGTATGGCGGAGTAATATGCACCAGTTTCCAATCAATATGAAGTGTTCCATTCTCAAATGACGTTTGAAACAGCATCGACAAAGGCACGGAAAGCTCATTGACAAGTTCCTTGAGAAGCTTTGATGCAATCCCATCTGGACCTGGCGACTTCGATTCCTTCGATGTCTCTAATCCACTTCTTGTATGTATGTATGTATGTATGTATGTATGTATGTATGTATGTATGTATGTATGTATGTATGTATGTGGTGCCCTCAAAACGGGCCACGTGATAGATGCGCTGGACCAACACGGGGGCCACATCGGACTCTGGCAGGCGTTATCTGTGCGCAATAACAAATGCCAACATTTGCGGGGTGCGCTGGTGGACCCTGTTGTCGGCAATCGTCGTACAACTGCACCACTGCCACCACCCCATTGTTTTGTGGTCAAAATCCTGGTCATTATATGTGGACCAGGGGGTGCGGAGTGGAGCGCTAAGGCGAGGATCCGTCCGAGCCATCCACCTGCGGCCTCCCCCGTCTCCGGTCTTCTTGACTCTGTCTCGACACCGGGCTCAGGCGGGGGAGGAGGAGAGAGTGTAGGTAGATGCTACGCAAGTCTACTGGCACTATAAACCCCTGCGTAAGTCACCGTCCCTGCTCCCACAATGCAGTCTGTGGGGCATACGGTGGACATCGTCGAAATCGACGGTCGAACTGTCATGTATGTATGTATGTATGTATGCATATGTTTGGAGAGTTAGGGGCACAGCCCATGGTGACCCTATTTCTGTACAGTGCTTTCGCATATTCGTACTCAAAAATAAAATTGCACGCATAAATAATGTGATCCGGTCACAGTTCAATCGTGATCATAAGGTAGTGCATGATGTCACTGTGAATTAGTGCGGACTGATTGTATATGACAGTTTTTTGCAAAACTGGCTGTGCGTAATCATGCTGAAAAGGCCGATTTCTGTCGAAAACTAGGCGAGCAAGTTTTTTTTTTAACATAAGAATTGTGTCAGCCGTCACCACCTCGCTTCAAAGCGAGTTCCACGATCTGACAACCCGCTGGTTGAACGAAAATTTTCGACAGCCCAACCGCGTGCGCTCATCCCTGACACTGTAGGCATGGCCGCGTAAGTGGTTTGTACGGGGGAAACTCAAAGAAGTCCTCCGCTCTTAATAAGCAACCCTGGCCGCGGACAGTCCGGAACATCCAAAGTAAATTACAGTTTATTTTTCTTTAAGAGAGAGGGAATAAGCCAAGCAAATTCAGCCTCTGCTGATAAGACGAATGCTTAGGACCGTCGACCATCTTTGTCGCTCTGCGTTGCACTTGTTCGAGTAAGTCGATATCCTTCCTCATCCCTGGTGGAGCTGCTGGCATTCCATACTTCAGATGAGGTCTTACAAAGACACTAAAGTGTCTTTCGAAGAGTTCGGGAGGAAATATTTTAAATGCACGTCTGATCCAGTGTAGAGTACTAATTGCCTTCTGGACCATCTTTCTACTGTGTTCTGATAGCGATAGATTTGTGGTCGTCAATACACCCAGATATCTGTGTCTTTCTACAGTTTCTAACCTCGTCCCGTCAATATAGTACTGGTGTTTGGGAGAGGCATTGAGGCCGGGGTTCAGGTGCAAGACCACGCATTTGGACACGTTTAACTTCAAAAGCCATCTGTTCGACCAAGCACACAGTTTGTCGATGTTAGACTGCAACGTCTCTGCATCATCGTCGCATTTGACTTTACTCCATATTTTTATGACATCCGCGAACATGAGGGCCTTACAATTCACTTCGTTGATGCAGTCATTAACATAAATGAGGAAGAGTACTGGGCCTAAGACAGAACCCTGTAGGACACCACTTTCCACATTTGCCCATCCCGAGGTATAGTTGCCATCGATGATTATTTGTACTCTGGAGGACAGAAAACTCCTGATCCATTTAAACCTTCTTCCTTGAATTCCCACATCCCAGATTTTCTGTAAAAGAAGCCTGTGTGGGACACTGTCAAAGGTCTTCTTGAAGTCAAAAAATATGACATCCACTGGAAAACCCTTATCGGTAGCTCGTGTCCATTTCTCGTGCGAGTAAAGAACACTCGTTAGGCAGGACCGCCCTGGACGAAAGCCATGTTGGACATCACACAATATTTTGTTCTGTCCCAGGTATTTCACCAACTGTCTTTTGATGATGCGATCCATTATTTTGCACGCGATACAAATAAGACTGACGGGACGATAATTTTCGCAGTCAAGTCTTGAGCCTCCTTTATGGATCGGAGTAATGAGTGTGCAATTTCATTCTGCCGGGAGCTCGTCCTCTTCAAATGACTTTTGAAATATTGCGGATAAGGGTTTGCACAATTCATTAGCACGTTCACGAAGTGCTAGTGCGGGAATTCTATCTGGGTCAGGCGATTTGGCAGGTGTCAACCGGAGTAGCTCGGCCCCAGCCATGGTCGATGAAAAGACTGGTTCCTCGGATAAGGAGTGTGTAGGAAGGGGAAGGGTACTAGGAGGAGAAGTCGGTTGGCGAACGGATGTATGAGCAAATATAGAACTGGGTTCTCGGGTGAGGACGGACTGAAAGAATTTAGAAAGTAGGGACGCTTTAACCTAGTTGTCAGTCTCCTCTTTTTCATCTGCAGACCTAAGGGCAGGGATCAGCTCCTGAGTCCTTTTAGTACTTCGTATATAACCATATAGAATTTTCTGATGCTCCAGCGAATTTCGAAGTATGTTCAGTTCAAACTTCCTTCGCAGATTTGAGGCCTCACTTTTACAAACGTTTCGTTGCCTCTTATATTACGGTAAATGTTCTTCGGAGCCAGTTAGTCTGTAACGCTTCCACAGACGATTTCTATTTCTGAATGAGGTCTTTAAGTCCGGATTTATCCATTTTGGGAGGTTTTTGATTGTCTTTCTTCTGAGAGGACAATTGGAACTGAAAGTATTCCAGTTGTCGTTTGGCCGACCATGCAGTTCAGTCTCCCATTATGCAACTGCCGCTTCCCTCCTCATGAGAGAACAGTTCCCTTTCCGAATGCTCCTCTCCCACCTATCGGTTTGAACGGGTTTGGAAAACAGTGAGTACTCGAAGTAGAGCGTGGTGTGGTAGCTTGACCCTAATGGCGGTCGGTCCTGCAGGTCTAACGCATTTTCCTCCTCTCAGGTAAAAACAAGATCAAGGCAGTTCGACTGCTGCCCTTCCCTGGCCCGTGTCCCAAGAGTAACATTCTGGCAGAGATGTTTGCCCTTTGTCCATTGTAGTAGTTTGTGATTAAAGCCGTCTTGCGGCACTTGTACAATCCACGTTTGCCAATCAATGCCAGGAGCGTTAAAATCGCCAACGATAAGGGCATCTTTCTTCCCACTGACTTTGTTAAGTTCAGTCACGAGCATGAGATCTTGGTCAGAAGTATGGCTAAGTGAACGGCACACCACCAAAAGCGTCAATGTTCGGACATTCTTAGCAGATATGGTAACGCTCAGCAGTTCCACATCCCGTACCAGGCTATGTACATCAGCCATAGCGGTCAGCTTGTAAGTGAAATAAACCATGACTCCTCCTACTCCTCGGCTTAGTTTGTCTCTCCTGAATTGCTGATATCCTCTAAGTGATATTTATGAGTCTGCGATATCTTCAGCAAGCCACGTTTCTGTCACCACAAAAACATTGCGAGTGTTCTGGACATTATTACGCCCCGGTACTTTGTACGAACTCTGATTCCCCATGAAATGGAGCAGTGGATAAGGTGGATGCTCCGAAATGTTCACTGCGTGCCACCATTTCCCGTCCGCAGATATCAGGAATTCTTCCACGTGAGTTTTACAACTTCTCTGCTCCACGTGAGAGGAAGCAACCCATTCTCACTCATAACTCCTCACAGTGCTCTACCTAAATGTTAAAACGAATAATGAGACCAGCTGCACACTGAGACTGCGTATTCATTCCTCTGAGTTCCTCAAATATTCCAATGTTACACTTGAAAAGTCTAGTTGGCAAACACGTGTTTCGGCAATTCTTCGTCAGGCCAATACAGTTACATGGAGGAATGAAATTATACAAAATCAACAGTGTTTATAGGTGTCTCAATGGCTATTAAGTCATTAACACTCACCTTCCCCACGCCACCCGCATGACGAGGTCGGCGGCTTTTGGTCCTCAGGGCCTAGGGGAGGGGTGTAAGAAAGTCTTTGATTGATATTCTTGGATTGAGTACACGGAGTATTCATCTGTGTAACTAGATATTTGAGGCGACATGTCGTAATCACTTGAGAAGAGAGAGCGCTTGTGTCAGGGTTTTCCGACAGCATAACACTGGATTCGCTGGTCGTATAGCTACTGCCTCGGCCGTTGCTAGTATCCGTTGGCGTAGGCCTTTAGAGAAGCTTGTTGTCCGGTAGACAACCTGAAATGCTTCCTTAGCATCGACTCGGTGATTCGTATCGACTGAATGCGCGAGAATAGAACTCGAAATCGATCGAGTTTTACCTCTGTCGAGCCAGACGGGTATATGTTCACGCACCCGCTTTACCAAGCGTCTCGTATGGCCGATGTATCCCGCTCCACAGGAGCAAGTGAATGAGTAAATGTACATTGATGTGGCCTCCAAAGGTAGTCTGGGCCTTCGCACAGGCCCATCATCAGAGATTAAAAAGGCGGCATGTAGGATGTTACAACCGACCCACACTGAACGTTACGCATCTGCGGTTGACTGCTAAGGAATCTGTGCGCGGGCGGAAAGTTAACTGGTAGGTCGACTAAGTCCTTATCAGAATTGCACCTTTAGTCACCTGCAGACCCGTTTTGTCACAAACCCAGGCAGATATGTTTGCGGAGGTCTTTTCAGGTGCGAAGATCTGTGAGTTTGTGGGGTATCTGTCATACTGGGCCCAGTCTCTTGAATAATCTTAAAAATTCTCGAGGGCTGTGAGATCTTTATAGAGGTCAGCCCGTACCTTCTCTTGGAGGCGTAATGGCGATTTTATAAATGGCGTTTCAGTCAGCACTGTTGACTTTCGTCTGGCTAACTTTGAATGAGGAATGAGGAATTATCGAAACGTAGGCTACCCTGGCCATGGTGTTGCTTAGTCATGTCCTGCTATGTTTCTTCCTTTGTCTGTTGAAGTTCCGTGTCGTATGCTGCTCTTGCTGCCTGTCCTCTGTATGCTCGTCTGTCTGTTAATAGCTAGACGAAACCCTCGCTGCCTTCTGCGACTGTCTGTCTGTCAGTCTATGCCTCTCTCTGCTAATAGCTAGGTGTTACGGTGCTTGACTTTGAGTGGTGCCCTCACTTGTATCTGACTGATGACTGTGTCCGCTTGTCTACCCTAGCTAGCTCTAAGTCCCATAGCGTTAGGTTGTGTGTATGCTCTCTCCTACTTCACTCCCTCACATCACCATCACCACCAAGGTCTCAGGCTAATTCGGGTCGTTCTCTCACTAACAAAAAGTCGTGGCCCATAGTGGAGTCCGGCAGCCGTCTGGGATAACCGGGCAGCCCTGTTCAGGGATGCGTTGCCTGCCCTCGCGAGGGGGAGGGGGCTAGAAAAGATGCCCTAAAGATCGCTCGGAACCACGCTGTCTGTAGGCTGGCCGTGGTCACAGACAAAAAACACACGGTCGAAACAGCCAAAACCGAAACAACAACAACAACAACAACAACAACAACAACAACAACAACAACAACAACAACAACAACAACAATCACTCTCTTCCTCTTCCAGCCTATTCTTCTTCTTCTCCTACTCCTACTTTTCGCCGCCGCAGTCGCCAGACTGGCAGGGTGAGCCCGCTCACATTGGCAGCCTGGAATGTTCGTTCCCTTTTAGACAATCCGAGGAGCAACCGACCGGAACGGAGGACGGCGCTAGTGGCACGAGAACTGGCGCGCTACAAGGTGGACATCGCCGCACTCAGCAAGACCCGATTCTCCGAACAAGGCCAACTGGAGGAGGTGGGTACCGGCTACACCTTCTTCTGGAGCGGTCGACCCAGGGCAGAGCGACGGGACGCGGGTGTCGCCTTCGCCATTCGGAACGACATCGTGAGACGACTGCCCTGTTTGCCGCAGGGCATAAACGACCGCCTGATGAGCCTCCGCCTGCCTCTCTGGGGAGGCAAATTCGCCACCATCATCAGCGCCTACGCTCCGACGATGACCAACCCCGACGCCGTCAGAGACAAATTCTACGAGGACCTGCTGCCCTCTTGGCGACTGTGTCGAAGGCGGACAAGTGGATAGTCCTTGGTGACGTCAACGCCCGCGTCTGCACAGACCATAATGCCTGGAGAGAAGTGATGGGTCCCCACGGTCTCCGCGGCTCGAACGACAATGGTCTGCTGCTTCTCCGCACCTGCGCAGAACACCGCCTCATCCTGACGAATACCTTCTTCTGTCTGCCGGAGCGAGAGAAGGCCACCTGGAGGCATCCTCGGTCGCGCCAGTGGCACCTGCTGGACTATGTCCTCGTCCGGAGGCGAGATCAGCGGGACGTGCTGGTGACGAAGGCGATTGCGGGAGCTGATGGGTGGACCGACCATCGCCTCGTCATCTCGAAGATGCGTATTCGCCTACTGCCTCGCAGGAGACCTCAAGGTAAGCGACCCCCAGGTAAGCTGAATGTTGCCTTGTTGTCTTTGCCCGCTCACCATCTTCATTTCAGCAATGAGCTAGCTCAACGGCTAGACAACCTTCCTATCGCTGCCGCCGCCGACGACGCCGCCGACGACGCCGCCGCCGCCGCTGCCGAGAACACCTCCGTGGAAAACCGCTGGTGTCAACTGCGAGACACGGTCCAGTCGACGGCGCTCGCCGTCCTCGGTCGCGCTCCCCGCCAACACCAGGACTGGTTCGACGACAACGACGCCGCCATCAGAAATCTGCTTGCTGAAAAGAACCGCCTACACAAAGCCTATCTAGATCACCCCACTGATGTCACCAAAGCTGCTTTCTACCGCAGTCGCCGCCAACTTCAGCAACGACTGCGCGAGATGCAGGACGCCTGGACTGCTCGCAAAGCTGAGGAGATCCAAGGGTACGCGGACCGCAACGAATGGAAGAACTTCTTCTCTGCGATCAAAGCTGTCTACGGTCCGCCGACGACGGGCACCGCTCCTCTCCTCAGCGCCGACGGCAACACTCTCCTGACTGAGAAGACGCAAATCCTGCAGCGATGGGCCGAGCATTTCCGAGGCGTCCTCAACCGCCCCTCCGTCATCTCCGACGCCGCCATCGAGCGCTTGCCGCAAGTGGAGACCAACGTGGACCTCGACCTCCCACCTTCTCTCCAGAAGACCATCAGGGCCGTGCAGCAGCTCTCCAGCGGGAAAGCACCCGGATCGGACGCAATCCCTGCTGAGGTCTACAAGCACGGATGTCCCCAGCTGATGGATCACCTGACTGCGCTCTTCCAAGAGATGTGGCGTCAAGGTGAAGTCCCGCAAGATTTCAAAGACGCAACCATCGTGCATCTCTACAAGCTCAAAGGGAATCTCCAGGTCTGCGACAATCACCGCAACATCTCCTTACAGAACATCGCCGGGAAGATCTTCGCACAATTCCTTCTCAACCGCCTCAATAACCATTTGGAACAGGGCCTTCTGCCGGAAAGCCAATACGGCTTCCGTCGTCATCGTGGGACCACGGATATGATCTTCGCCGCCCGTCAACTTCAGGAGAAGTGTCAGGAGATGCGGACCCACCTGTACTCTACCTTCGTGGACCTGACGAAAGCCTTCGACACGGTGAATCGTGAAGGACTGTGGAAGATCATGCAGAAATTCGGCTGTCCAGAGCGATTCACTCAGATGGTGCGTCAGCTGCACGACGGTATGATGGCGCGAGTCACGGACAACGGAGCTGTCTCAGAGGCATTCGCAGTGACCAATGGAGTGAAGCAGGGCTGCGTACTGGCGCCTACCCTCTTCAGTCTTATGTTTTCTGCCATGCTGATGGACGCCTACCGCAACGAACGCCCCGGGATCCGCATCGCCTACAGGACGGACGGTCACCTCCTGAATCCACGGAGAATGCACTTCCAATCGCGCGTATCCACAACCACCATTCACGAACTCCTCTTCGCCGACGACTGCGCCCTAAACACCACCTCGGAAGAGGAGATGCAACGGAGCATGGACCTGTTCTCCGCCGACTGCGAGAACTTCGGTCTGGTCATTAACACGCAGAAGACGGTGGTGATGCACCAACCACCACCCAACTCAGCCACAGCCCCCAACGCGCCGCCGCAAATCAGTGTGAACGGAACCCAACTGCAGGTGGTGGAGAACTTCCCGTAGCTGGGCAGTACTCTCTCCCGCAACACCAAGATCGACGACGAAGTCGCCAACAGGATCTCGAAAGCCAGTCAAGCCTTCGGTCGCCTCCAAAGCACAGTTTGGAATCCCCTCGGTCTTCAGCTGAGCACGAAGCTGAAGATGTACAAGGCCGTCATCCTGCCAACATTATTGCATGGAGCGGAGACTTGGAAGGTGTACGCAAAGCAGGCACGTCGTCTGAACCACTTCCACCTCAGTTGTCTTCGTCGCATCCTGAGGCTGAACTGGCAGGATCGAATCCCCGACACTGATGTGCTGGAACGGACGGGAATCCTCAGCATCTACTCCATGCTGAGACAAATGCAGCTGCGTTGGAGCAGCCATCTGTGCGCATGGACGACGAGCGACTACCCAAACGACTCTTCTACGGAGATGTCTCGACGGGTTCTCGCTGTCAAGGAGGCCAGATTCGCCGTTACAAGGATACCCTGAAGTCCTCCCTGAAATGCCTGCAAATCAACCCCACCAACTGGGAGGAGCTCGCACTCGATCGACCGACCTGGAGGAGAACAGTGAAGACGGGCGCTGCATTTTACGAAGCCAACCGCATCGCTGCCGCCAAAGCGAAACGTGAAGCCCGCAAATCACAACTTCGCCCAGTACGCAACGCCGCCGCACAACCGCTTCCAACGTGTCCTCGATGTCAACGAACATTCCGGGCTCGAATCGGACTTGTTGGACATCTTCGGATTAACTGCGCCTCTCGAACGGCACCAACCATCGTCCCCCCGCCTGCCTCTTCCTCCTCCTCTCCGCCGCCGACTAACCCTGACAATTCTTCTGACCTACCACTTCCATCATCCTCCTCC